GTGACGTGACGGTCGCCGTGACGGTGGCCCTGACGGTGACGCACGGTGGCAGAGAATGTGCAGAATGCGTGAGCAGCCCCGTCGACGCGGTGGCGAGCTGGTTGTGCCTAGAGTCCTACAGTTTCTAGGGTGGCAGCGGAAACTCTCCGGCCTCTACTGCGAGGGCCATGAGGATTGTGAAGATCATGGAGATCACGAGGATCATGGGGGTCATGGGGATCATGACGAGGGAGGGGTGCAAGCGGTTTGGCGCGCGACCCCCGGCCCGGCGACCCCGTCAAGCGGCGTCGTCGGCAAGGACCCCATTGCAAACGGGCTTCGGAACGGCAAGGTAATTTTGGGACTTAGAGTTGTGGAAGTCGAGGATGTCCGCAGTGCCTCTGGACCTGAAGCCTGGAGGGTCTGAAACCAGTGGTTCTCAACCTTAGGGTCGCGACCCCAAGTGGGGTCGCGAAAAAATTTTAAGGGGTCGCGGCGAGGTAGCTGGGGTCGTGTTTTGGGCCGATTTTAAGCAGCCACTGCGTCTGATCCGAGGCGGGCATTTTGCTCCCTCAACCGGCAATTGGTCTTTGAACCTTCCTTTAGCATGCCGTTGTTACGAAGTGTGATTATCAGTCTTAGTTTGGGAGCAGTATTGTCTCAAAGTTTACCAAAACGGTCAGAAATGTCTTTGAAAAATCGTGTTTTGGGCCTATTTTAAGCAGCCACTGCGTCTGACCCGAGGCGGTATTTCGTCCTCCTTCAACGGGCAATTGGTCTTTGGACCTTCTTTTAGCATGTCTTTGTTACGGAGTGTGATTATCAGTCTTAGTTTGGGAGCAGTATTGTCTCAAAGTTGGCCGAAACGCTCAGTAATGTCTTTGAAAAATCGTTGTGCCTGTTTTGGTCAACTTTGAGACAATACTGCTCCCAAACTAAGACTGATAATCGCATTCCGTAACAGGGGCATGCTAAAGGAAGGTCCAAAGAACAATTGCCCGTTGAGGGAGCAAAATGCCCGACTCGGATCAGACGCAGTGGCTGCTTAAAATCGACCCAAAACATGATTTTTTAAAGACATTTCTGAGCGTTTTGGCCAACTTTGAGACAATACTGCTCCCAAACTAAGACTGATAATCGCACTCCGTAACAGAGGCATGCTAAAGGAAGGTCCAAAGACCAATTGCCCGTTGAGGGAGCAAAATGCCCGCCTCGGATCAGACGCAGTGGCTGCTTAAAATCGACCCAAAACATGATTTTTTAAAGACATTTCTGAGCGTTTTGGCCAACTTTGAGACAATACTGCTCCCAAACTAAGACTGATAATCGCACTCCGTAACAGAGGCATGCTAAAGGAAGGTCCAAAGACCAATTGCCCGTTGAGGGAGCAAAATGCCCGCCTCGGATCAGACGCAGTGGCTGCTTAAAATCGACCCAAAACATGATTTTTTAAAGACATTTCTGAGCGTTTTGGCCAACTTTGAGACAATACTGCTCCCAACTAAGACTGATAATCGCACTCCGTAACAGAGGCATGCTAAAGGAAGGTCCAAAGACCAATTGCCCGTTGAGGGAGCAAAATGCCCGCCTCGGATCAGACGCAGTGGCTGCTTAAAATCGACCCAAAACATGATTTTTTAAAGACATTTCTGAGCGTTTTGGCCAACTTTGAGACAATACTGCTCCCAAACTAAGACTGATAATCGCACTCCGTAACAGAGGCATGCTAAAGGAAGGTCCAAAGACCAATTGCCCGTTGAGGGAGCAAAATGCCCGCCTCGGATCAGACGCAGTGGCTGCTTAAAATCGACCCAAAACATGATTTTTTAAAGACATTTCTGAGCGTTTTGGCCAACTTTGAGACAATACTGCTCCCAAACTAAGACTGATAATCGCACTCCGTAACAGAGGCATGCTAAAGGAAGGTCCAAAGACCAATTGCCCGTTGAGGGAGCAAAATGCCCGCCTCGGATCAGACGCAGTGGCTGCTTAAAATCGACCCAAAACATGATTTTTTAAAGACATTTCTGAGCGTTTTGGCCAACTTTGAGACAATACTGCTCCCAAACTAAGACTGATAATCGCACTCCGTAACAGAGGCATGCTAAAGGAAGGTCCAAAGACCAATTGCCCGTTGAGGGAGCAAAATGCCCGCCTCGGATCAGACGCAGTGGCATGCTAAAGGAGGGGTCCCGTGGGGTCGCGAAACTTTTCCTGGGGGTCGCGGAAATTTTTGGCTACAAATTTGGGGTCGCGAGTCGAGAAAGGCTGAGAACCGCTGGTCTGAAACACCAATCCTCCTTTTCCACACAAGTGCTCGCGGCTACTCGGTGCCTCGGTGCGCCGGGCAGCGCGACGCCTCTATTTCAGCGGCAGCTCTCCAGATGGCGTCGCAGTCGCCACGAGTTGGTACACTGCTAGCAGTGCTAGCAGCACCGGCAGAGAGGGAACAGTTAGGTTTTGATACCGGTTCACCAGCTCACATCCTCGCTCACTCACTCCTTACTCCTCTACACGTGTGCTTGAGACTGCCCCTGTGTGTGTGGATGGGTATCACGGGCCTGTACATACAGCCGGCACACGCCATCGGACTCCACTTTACTCCGTGCACCCAACACCGGAGCATGGCACTGCAGGGGCACCAGTGGAGGCTGCAGCTCGAAGCACGCCACGGCACTGCAAGCGCGAAGCCAAGGCGAAGCGCGCGCCGCGGATGGCATCTCATCTGATACGCGTTGTCTGGCATCGCGTTGTCTGGCACAAATGTTTGCATAAATTCGAGAGAAATGGAAACTATTAGAAAGGCGCCGCCAATTCCTTTCACTGCCGCCTGCTTCTTGTCGTGTTTTTCAGGGGCTCCTCTGGCGGTTGAGGGCTCCTTGTACGTAAAGACAGAATCCTTTGCAAAAACGGGGCCCCTTGTACAAACAAGACATTCCTTACGAAAACAGTACACTGCTAATCAAAGGATGCGTCCGGCGTGATGCGTCCGTGGCATCGTCCACTGCAGCTCTGCAGCCGGGAGCGTTTCCTTGTTCAGCCCGAGGCGTGGGGCGTGGGAGTGTCAGGTCAACGGCCTCCTCCTCGGTCTGGGCCTTCTTGGCCTTCTGCGACGTGTGCAGCGATAGCAGCCGGTGTGGATACAGAGTGGTCGCCCCCCCCCCCTCTTTCCATAGCTCCTAGATAGCCGCCTGAAATGTAGGATAGAAAAATGCAGGCAGGCAAAAAGTGTTAGCAGGCAAAAAGTGCTACTTTGCCCCCCCCCCCACTGGATCACGGAGGCGCCCATCTTGAGGTGGAGACAGAAAACCGGACGACACGTGATGGCAAGGGGGGCACGTGTGCGCTCCGGCGCCCGGCTCGGCCCGCCCCGGCGGCTGGCCTCGGCCGCCAAGGCTTGGCCAAGGTCAGCCGATGTGGGTCGCGAGCATAGCGGGGCGCGGACGGGCGCGGACGGGCGTGGCGTAGCGGGGCCCCCGAGAGTCCTCGACGCGGCGAGTGACCCTCCTGCCAGCGAGGAGGCGGCGCCCTGGCGGTGCCCTGGCGGTGCCCTGGCGGCGCCTTCCGCGGCCGTCCCCAAGGCGGTCCCAGCACAGATGCGCGAGCCACGCCGCGACGCGCAGCGCGTGTGGCGGGGAGGGGCGAAGACGCGATGCGATGCACCGGCGCCACCGGCCACGTATTTGAGGGGGCCGGGGCCCCCGTCGTGGCGTCGTTAGCGGCACAAGTGGCTGACGCGCTGACGCGCTGACGCGCTGACGCCGACCTCGGCGTCCCTCATCACCGGAAGTAGATTCAGGCCAGCCGCCTCCTACGTCCTGAGCCGCCCCGAGCCGCCCCGGACACGTGTTTTTGAAAATGGTGGCCGAGGGCCCCGTCGGCCGTCCGGCCGTCCGCCCCGTTATCGGCCGAGGATTGAGTCCTACGGGGACGGGAGTGCGCGGAAAGGCGTAAGGCCGGCCGGCACGCGTAACGGGATGACACGGGGCCGCGTCAGCCGCCGCGCCCCGCCCCGCCCCGCCCCGCCCCGCCGAGAGAGAGAGAGAGAGACAGCGACGAAAACGACTGTCGGAATCGGTCTGCAGAACCAGTTCGAATGCAACCCCCTTGGTGGTTTGCTGCCGCCGCCGTTCGGCCACCGTTCGGCTCGGCCAGGGCGATGGCCCCTCGCGCCCCTCGCGAGAGCCCTCTCGCTGCCGTGTGGCGTGGCCGGCGTGGCCGGCGTGGCCGTCTGCGTGAATGTGTGCGTGTCGGGGGAATCTTCCAGGCTCACCCAGAATGCCTTAACACTTTCACTAGGCAGGGCAGCGCCGCAGCGCCAGTACGCCACGGCACGCCAGCCAGGCAGGCAGAGCTTTGTGTGCTTTGAGTCTGGGGCGGCGGCGCTGCCGCACTCTGTCCCAAAAGCACGAATAACGTATTGGCTCAAAATCGGAAACCAGGTAATTAACCGATCTCCCGCCTTGTTCCTCGTTGTCTGCAACTTCTTGAACTGCACTGCAGCACGGGCGTGTTCGTGTGTGTGAGTGCAGTTACACTGTAAATGATGAGAGTGTGGCTCGCTGGGAAGCACTGCGAGGTGCACCGCGAACGCGCTGGTGTGCGTGGGAAAGGGGTGGACTGGAATGACACAGGCCGGTGGAACAACAAGAAGAAAGAATCTTTGATTGACGTCGGCAGCGTGGCTGGCGGTGCGAGAGATGATCTACCGGCCCTGCCCTGCCCTGCCCGGTGCAGTGCGGGCACAGCAGCTCGGCAGTGCGGCCCGCTTCCCGCCGAGTCCTGCACCGCCACGGGTTCTACTCCCGGCGCCGCGGCCTTCCAACGATCCGCATTGTTCAAAAACTAGGACGCGCGGCCTGGCGTCGAACCCGCGCCCTCCTTTATCATTTGGCGGACCGACACCGAGCACCAGCGCTGCACGACGACAGGGCCGGCACGCAGGCACGCAGCTGGAGCGCGCGGGGCCGGCGGCCGGAGGGGCGGGGCGGGGGCGGGGCGGGGGCGGGGTCCTCGGTCGGTCAATAGGAGACCTTGCATTTGGGGAACCGCTGCGCGCAGGTATCGGCTCGGTCCAGCACCTCCTCCGCACTGGGCATGTGCGCGAACATCCTCTGCACCGGCGTCATGCGCCGCCAGCGCTCCTCCTCGGCGACCTCCTCGGCCGCCTGCTGCCCGGCTCCCTGCCGCCCCCCGTGCGTGGGGTTCCCGGGGTCCCCCTTGGTCCCGGACCCCGTTGGGGCCCCCGACGGGGCCGCCGGACGCAGCGCGGGCCGCAGGGACCTCTGCATGCCGTCGAGGAAGGGCCCCGCCTTGCAGACCAGGAGCTGGATGCAGGAGGTGTCCGGGGCCTCGGCCTGCTGCGCGGCGCGACGAGGGCCCCCGGGGGCTGCGGGGGCGCCGTGTCCGAGTCCCCCCGCCGCCGAGCGGGCCCGACGGCCTCCGGGCCGGGGGAACCGCCTCTGGATCTCGGTGATGAGCCGATCGGACAAGCCGGGGGCCTGCGCTTCCCGGAGAGCGGACGAGTCCTGGAGAAAATGGAATTCATTTCAAAAATCTTAAGAACAAGTGCGGCTGCAGGCTGCAGCGTGGGGACAGGCGCCGTTAGCACCTCCGTTATCTGATCAGCGACACGCGCGGGCCGTGGGCCGCGTGACGGGCGGGGCCCTCGGCGGGGCCCGGCCTGGCGAGCGCCTGTGAGACGCGAGGTAGGCCACCCAACTGCCGCGCGAGTCGCACGGGCTGCCTGCGCGGCGGGCGAGCCACGATATGACCTGACATTACTTCAAAGGCTAGATCACAATTGACCGTATCACATGAACCCTCGGGGGTAATCACTAGCTCATTTTGTGCACCCGGAATATGAATGATGAATATGTCCAACGAACCCCGAGAACAATTCTGAATACTCTAGTGAATACGCATATTTGTATGAACACAGGGGACGTAAAAGAGTATTCTTAATAATTTACAAGCAAATTTCACCGCAAAAATGATCAGAGTAACAAAAATCTCATTCAACGAACGTTAATGAAAGCAGATGATCCATCGCGTTTCACAACTGCTGTGATAGCCGAGAGGTTAGAGACGTGGGATCGAGTTACCGCAGGCCGGCGTTCGAATACCAGCGTCACAAAAGTTTTTTCGACTTGCTATCCTAAGGGCGGTGGTTCGAGGCCATGAGAGCGGAGCCGTGTGCAACAGGCCCACATGCCGGAGGTTCGACTCCTAACAAATATTTCCATTTAATTTTACTGCCTCACCCAGTGCGGTTCAAACCCGTAAACGTGAGCCCACTCCGAGCATGGGACGTGGTGGTCGAGGGAGTAGAGGCGTCGGTTCTCAGTGCTATGGTCGGCGGTTCGACTCCCCCAACTTCTTGCGAAATTTTGACCGGGCGGTCGAGTTCTGTTGCGTCAAGAACCCACCTCACGCCGTTCTTGCCATCATGGGCCGTGGTGGCCGAGAGCGTAAAGTCGTGTGATCCCGATGGCGGGGTCCGGGGATCGATTCCCTTCATTTCATTACATTTTTCGGCCGCCTTCCTCCCAGTGCAACTCAAACCCGTCGTCCAACACGCTGCCAGACGTACAAGCGTGATAGCGTAGTGGTCAGAGTCACATTCACCTGGCCACTCCGCTGTGGGTGTCTAAAAAGCAATCCGCTTCGGCGGGTTGGCCTCGGCACTGGAGCGATGGAGTATTTGATCCATCAATCCAGACCATCCGGTGTGTGGTTGCGGGTGGTGCCTCCTTGACTCGTCGGGGAGGCGATGATAAGTCCTTTGAAGCTGGCCTAAAACGCTGTATGTTCGGTACGGGAGCGCCGGACAGTGGGGGTACCATGGGGTACACAACCAACCCTACGAAAACAAGAAGCTCCCACCAAACCTCTTCTCTGTCTGAGTCTCTCTCTGTCTCTCTGTCGTCTCACTCTACGTCCCGCCCCTCAAAGAGCTTCGTACTGGGTGCTCTCACCCAGCTGCCTGAGCTTTGGGGTCCTACTGGGTCCCCCGGCGAACGCTTAGAGTCGCTGACGGGATTAACCCCAGGTACCTGATAGCACCGGTTCCCATCCCGAACACCGAAGTAAAGCAGGAGGCCTCCCCATTAAGACTGGGGAGGGGGTGTAGAGTTCAAATTTTTTTCTTTTCCCTTTCAAATTTCTCGGTTAATACTCGTTTGGTTTCCTTATACGGGGTAGTATGCGGGCTCATTCCAAAGATAGTAATTAAAATTGTGTATGAAACAAAATATATAGACCCGAGCGAGGTGGCCGGTGTTGGTACTAGCCGTTTCGTTTCTGGACTCGAGAGTAAAAGCACGCTGACACCTTCATGTGTATAGTAGTTTTAAGTATGTTTCAAGTGTGAAGGTATCATCTGCTAAAAATATAAAATCAACACCCCCTGGCCAACCTTTATGGCCGGGTTGTCCAGCATCCAGGACAGCGGCGTGCCTGCCGGTTCCTGGTCGTCATCGGGGTCGTCATCGCGGTCCTCGGCGTCGTCGTCCGCTTGGGCGTTGCCTTCGTCTTTGGTGCCGCCTCCACTGCGAGCGTGCGGCCCCGCGGCGGGGCGGCCGACGATGGAGCTGCTAATCTGAAAATAAGTTTCGTTCCGTCACCGCACAGAGCACCAAAGGGACCGCACAAAACTGAGTGAGACCTACCAGCTGGGCGAGGAAGATGACGCCGTTGAGGGCGATGGCGCCGAGCTTGCTCGAGTCCAAGCCCAGCAGCCTCAAGATGCCCCCCAGCACGGACGGCGACGGCGGCGGCTGTCGAAGCTGTGGCTGGTAGTAGGGGCCGGCCGCACTGCCCGCGGGCACCACCCCCGGGTCACCGCGGGTCCAGGCGGGTCGCACGGGGCCGTACGGCGTCGACGTCCTGGTGGGGGCGTGGCCGAACGCGCTGCTCACCAGGTCGGCCACGGAGTCCGCGATGCGCAGGCCCAACACTCGACCGGCCTGGCCCAGGGTCTCGCCGAAGTGGCTCACCATCCCTGCAGGCAGGGCACACTTGCCACGTCACACTCTTGGAAATGGTCGCTTCAGCACTTGTTGAGCACTACCCACCTGTCGGGTCCAGGATGCTCTGCACGTCCAGGTGCCGCCCCTGCTGCTGGTGCCCCTCCAGCTGGTCGTCGTCGAGGCCGCCGAGTGGGTGCGCGAGTGGCGGCGACACCGCCTCCGCGACCGCGGCCGCGGACACCAGCCACATGGCCGCGGACACCGCCAGTGCCCGTCCCAGCGCGCGCATCCCGTCACACTGCACACCGGCGCAGCGTAGCGCCGCGTAGCGCCGCGAACTCGTCGGCACTGCCGTCACCGTACCGTGACCGCACCGTGACCGCACCGTGACCGCACCGTGACCACCGGGCCGTCACACCCGGCGCCCCGAACCTAGCGGCTGTCACGCGCACGCGCAGGGTCACGGCGAGTGCCACGCCCGCGCACGCCCCGGTCCGCGTCGCGGTCCAGGGCCGCCGTTACTAGTGTCGCACGGAGTACTTGGTGTGGTAGAAGGACGCGTAGCCCTCGGCCAGCACGAGTAGCGCGCGATGCATGCGGTCCACGTCCATCTGCGGGCGAGAGAGAAAAGACCGGGGTCCAGGGTTCAAATCCCGGCGTCGGTATTACTTTTCGTGTTTTGCCGCTGACTCTGACCTGAGGCAGCAGGCGGATGTCCTCCTCCCCGAACGACGGCACGTAGTCCCGCCAGGTCGTGGACGGGGGAGGGCCCAGCGGTCCGCCGTCGCCGTGCTCGTCGTCGTCGTCGTCGTCGTCCTCGGCGTCCCTGCGCTTCCTGCGGCCCGCGCCCGGCCGGGCCGGCCGTCGGGTGCCCGTCCTGGTCGGCATCATGACCATCATGACGTTGGCGGGCCGGAGTGACCCCGCCGCCGTGGCGGGCGGGTAGAAGCCGCCGAAGCCGTAGCCGCCTGCGCCAAAAGGCCAAAACACAGTCCAGACGACTTGCGAGCATTGCCAAGCAGGTCCAACTTACCGCCCTTCACGGCCTGCAGGATGAGGCACAGCAGGTAGCCGCCGAACGCGAGGAAGGCGAGGAACGTGATGGAGATCTGGAAGATGGAGCCGATGTCGCCCTTGCCCTTCTTCTTGTGGCCCTTGTTCCAGCTGATCCAGCCGCCGTCCTCCTCCTCCTCCTCTTCCACCCACTCCTCCTGGGACCAGCCGCCACCGCGGTCCCCGCTGCCGCCCCTGTCGCCGCCGCCCCCGCCGCTCCCACCACCCCCACCGCCGGAGCCCCCGCGCCGCCGCACGGCGCTGGTTTTGCTGCTCACGGCGCCTGCAGAGCCGAGGGTTAGAGGGTACACTGTGGGAACGTGATTCGCTGGACCCCGTGGCCGTCTCGTCTACCCACCTTTGCGACTGTTGCCTCCGCCCCAGTTGAGGGGCTGCGCGGAGGGGGTCTTGCCGTCGATGCCGTCGGCGTTGAGGCCGGCCATCCAGCGGCGGGAGGCCGCGGACTGCTTGGCTTTGCTGTCGCACTGGTCTAAGGTCCGAAAGTTGAAGATTCAAACATAAGACAGCTAAATTGTACTAGCGCCCTCCGCCATATCGATCCCCAGGACTTACCGGGTGGTGCGTGTCCGGTGAGTCGTCGCAGCTCCGTCTGCACGCGGAGCAACTTGGCTAGCGGCAGGTCGCTGAGGCTGCGAACCTCGGCGCGCCGCTCCCTCACCACGGCCTGCCCCGCGACCTGCGCCACGTCGCCGTCGGCGTCCTGCCCGTCCTCCTCCGGCTCTTCGCCGGCGGCCTCCTTGTCAACGCCCCCGTTGCTGACGCCGCCCGCCTCATCATCGTAGTCCTCGTCCTCGTACTCGACGTCGTCCTCGTCGCCCAGGCGGTGGTCCTCGCCGTCGTCCTGATCGCCGTCCTCGTACAACTCGTCCTCGTCCTCGTACTCGGCGTCGTCCTCTGCGGGCCGAGGCAATAAAGCATTTCGGAATGCGATATAACGATTCACTCCGCGGCGCGTATATCAAAAGTGTCGCCACCGGTAGCCTTGCGTCGCCTCGCGTCTCGCCACGCTGGCCGTGCCAGGACCCGGGCCACGAGCGACCCCGTTGAGACTCCGATTTAATTTCCATTTCGCTTTTTGCCACAACAGCACCTTGTCATTACTCATATTTACAGTGTCGCAAATAAAGGAATCGGCACCTGGCCTTTGCGTCACCCACCGTATTCCTCGTAGTCGTCCGCCTCGGCGTCGCTGGCGTCGCTCACGTCGTCGTCCTGGAGGAGGCGGTGCTCGGCGGGGGGCTGCGCCGCGCCCAGCGCCTGCGCTTCCTGCACAACAAGGCACCGATGTTTCCAAAAAGCCGTTCCATTATCGCCCCAAGTGGCTAACGGCCTCCATCGCCGTGATCCTGGTGACGTGTTGCACCGCCGGGATAGCTTTCGGCTCGTTACCGCCAACGGGGCGAGTGTCTGCCGCGGCGGGGGGCTGCTAATGAGACCGTGCCGTCGCGGACCCCACGGACCCCACGGACCCCAGAAACGCCGATCGAAACGACGCCACCCAAGGAAACACAAAATAATCGACTTAAAATCCCGAGCGTGCGCTGCGGCGTGTTCTCACCGGCGCCGCGGCCTCGAGTCCGAGTCCCGGTGGCGGCGCTTCCGGGGGCCGCGTGGCCGCCGCCGTCGACAGCACCTCCCCGTCGGCGGCGGTGAGGCCGGCCTCGGGCGTCGGCGCCAGCAGCACCAGCAGCAGCAGCGGTGCCGCGGCCATCCCGACTGAGGCGGCCGTGCTCGGCGAGGCAGTCACCTCACTCACGGTGTGGCGGGGCGTCGCTCTTTCTGCCGCGGACCCGCGGACCGTGAAAAGTGTCCGGGGCGTCGCGGCGCTGCCGTTGAAGGCGCCGCGCGTCGACGTAGACACGGACAGCGCGCGTCCTGACGCGTCCTCACGCCGGCCTTAATTCGGTCAACACGACATCGTAAAGCAATTCTCATAATATGGAAATGAATCGCTGCTGCCTGCTTCGGGCTGCTTCGGGGTGATTCGGTCTGCTTCGGGCTTCGGAATGCATAAATTTGAGTTCATGAGAGCGCGATGTACGACACGCGGCGTGGCGCGGTGCTGCGAGCGCCACGGGGGTCCGCCGAAGGGAAGGGGGGGGGGGGGGGGTCCCCCGCGCGGCCACCCCTCTCCCCGCCGCGGTCCAGGGCGTCCTCCGCGTCCGCGGCAACGCCGCCAGCCTTCCCCCCCGCGACTGTTTATCTCACCGTTTGTCAGTGTTTATACGGCTTTTCATCTTGTGGCCCCCTGGCCGCCCTGGCCGCCATATACTCGCCGTCGATTCGCCTGATTGGCCCCGCTGCCGCCGCGCGACTGCCTTTCTATTTAATCAAGGTCTAAATCAGGCTGCCGCGCTGCCCAAGGCGCTGCCGATATAAAGTCGACGTGAGCGAGCCCTGTTCATGTTCATAAAGCCCGGCTAATTGTTGTTCACGATAAACGTGTCGGCCGTGCCTCACGCCGGCCTGCAGCAGACTGAGAGTCGTTTTAATCGCTCTGTCTCTCTTGCCCATACAGGACGCCCCACGAGTGCAAGGGAGAAAGAGCGAATCAGTCTGCCGCGCTGCTGCTCCCGAGAGCCGCGTCCCAGCCGCGTCCTACTGTCCTGTAAGAGGGTAGGGTGGGGTGCGTGGGCGGGGGCCAACGCCGTGGCCAACACCCGGCGCTCCACGGCCCGCGGCAAGCCCGCGGCAAGCAGACCACCAGCCCCAGACTCACCACGCTGGCGAAGGGCGCTACTGTGCAGCACAGGGGCCGCACCAGCCAGCGCGTGTGTGTGCGTGTACGTGTGTTTAGGCAACCTCTTTACGACTTTTTCTGTGAAGTGAGAATCATCACGGCCACAAACGCGCCCCGGCCGCGGCGCAGTGCGCACACCGCCCTCTACACGAATACTAGACTCGTCATATAAACTGCGCAAGAAATATGAAAGTTAGAGCCTTTCGAGGAAGCGGCGGCGTCGGCCGGCCCGGCGGCCAGCGGGTAACGCGCCCCGAAGAGCAGGGCTCTGCCGCTCAACCGAGCTCGTCGCGCCTGCCGCGAACTCTTCGCGCCGCGAGATGAATTTCGGCAGGTCGTACAAATGATGTACACCGAGTTTCACGCCACGTCCCACCGGCTGACGTCGCAGCCACCCCGCGAGAGTGAGAGGTGAGGTACACACACGTCGACGCGGTGTGCCTGCACTGCATGCAGTGCCTGCAGTGCCTGCACAAAACGGCGCATTAGCGCGGCCCAGGAATGCAGTTACGACACCCTTAATGGACACTGGGCTTCGGCACGCAGCTGCATCGCCAATACGGTAGCCGCGAACGCCTCGAACGCCGCGGACCTAGAGTCCCGAACATGTCCGGGCCCTCGCTCGGTCTCTCTCGCACCGGTGCGTAGTGCCCCACGAGAGAGATAGTTTGCTGCGGGGCGCGGGTCGCGTGCTGCGCGGCGATAACGCACCCGGCCCGCACGGCGCGTCACGTTACCGCGTTACCGCGAGCAGGCCGCGCTGGGATTGGCGCCGCGACAGCGCGACATCGCGCAGGGTTGCCACCACGCCGCCGCCGCGGTGGCCGCGCATTCCGAGTCCGCCGCTGCCAACCCTGCCAACCAGACTCCCGGCGACCGAGCTGTGTCCTGGACCGTCCTGGACGCACAGACAGTCCCGGACGCGCACGCACATCGACCAGACCGCATTGCACTATGTTGGCACCACTGGCGCCTGGCGCCATGGCACAGGGCTGCACAGTGGCCCAGAATATCGGTGGCGGCGGTCAAAATGCCGGACGCGTTTTGAGAGTCCGGGAGCTGGAAACGCGTCCATGAGTTTGACCGCCACCACCGGTCTTCCGACCCACCGTGCGCTGCCTCGGACGCTTCGACGCCACCCCATGGGACTGCAGTTGCGCGTGCCCTCCCTATGGTCTCGCCGGGGACTTACTCGACTTCCGGTCTTCCTCGCTTTTCCTGCCCCCCGGGCCGGCCAACCCCCGTGCCCTCACACTGTAGGCCCTCCGCGCTGAGCCTACGAGACGCGGGTTTGTAAACAGAGCAGCGGAGTGCCGCGCGGCCGCGCGCCTGGTGCCCTCATTGTTGTTTAGTCTCGCCGAGAGAGCCTCGCCACCCTTCCGTTTACTAGGAAAACCTCCTTCCCCACATTGGGCGCGGTTTGTGTAAGGACCTCGTCCACTGGCCCTATCGATTCCAGTCTATGGACGGACTCCAGTGCACAGTGGGCCAGAAGACCGCGGCCTGGAGACGGTCGAAGCCCCGGACACGGTTTGAGCTCTACAGTCACTTGGTTGGCGCGGTTCGCACAGTGCAACGGTGACGCGGCCGTCGAAGTGATGCGGCCTTCGGCAAGGCCTTCGGGCTTCGGGCCTGTCCACTCCACTGTGACCGAACTCGCGGCTCGCGCGGCTCAAATGTATAAATACGGGGGAGCAAATAACAAATCACGGCGGCCGGGGAATAAACAGGAACGAATATGATCCTGTGCATGCCGCAGAGAAGGATCACATCACAAGGCCCCACATAAACTAAAACTCATTTAAATTCCTGAAATTGTTTACGATTGGTTTCTCGGGCCCGCGTGATGCGCGCTACCGTGTGCGCCTCGCCGTGTCTTTCCTTCGCCGTGTGTGTGTGTGTGTGTGTGTGTGTGTGTGTGTGTGTGTGTGTGTGTGTCTGTGTGTGTGTCTGTGTGCGTGCGTGTGTGTCTGTGTGTCGATCGCCGTGCGCAGCAGACGGGTGACTTTGGCTCCCCGGGGTATTTCGCAGGTCCTCTTGCCATCGAGTACCACCGATGTGGCACGATGTGGTTGGTCTCCGCCTCGAGTTGGACTGCCGGCCACACGGAGCGCTGGCTGCTGCTGCTGCACTGTCAGCCGAATTCATGCGAGTGAATAAAGTATGCGCGCACTGCGTTTGAATATCGATACACGCGAGAGGAACATTACTCCAGGCGCGTTTGACCCGTAATTCAGAGGTGTGTGCGTGAGTGTGTGTGTGTGTGTGTGTGTGTGTGGCGTGTGTTGCCGGGGTATTGGAGTCCTTTGCGAGGCCTGCTGGAATCCTGGTGGGATCCTGTGGTAGAATCGTGGGCCCTGGTGAAATTCTGGTGGTCTTTATTTCGTTTCACCCTACGACACCGTGGCGTGGCGTGGCGTGGCGTGGCGTGGCGTGGCGTGGCGTGGTGTAGGAGCGAAGGTCCGGCGACAGGTGCGGTACCCGTTTGCCTGTTTGCATCGCCTCTGTGCGAAAATGGTAAAACATGCGCGCGAGGCGACTGGCTTTCTCTGGGGGCGTTGTCGCCTCGCGCGCATGCGCGGTACGCGCGGTACGCGCCAACCGACCCACTCGTAAAGGGACGCGCGCATCCATCACTTTGTTATGAAAGCCGGGGGAGCTGATGTGAGTATCACGCCGGCCGGACCGAGAGGGCCGGCCCCAACACCCTCCACGCTCATCGCTCATCCCCCCTGCGTGCGTGCGCGTGTGAGTGTGCGTATTTATTATCAATTCCTGGCCACATTCGCGCGGATCCACGCATATTTATGAGTATACCACTACAAATCAATGCCCAATGCCCCGGCGCGCTGGCGTGGCGTGGCGTGCCCGTTGGCCCGGCCCGCGTCAGAACACATGTCCGCGGCGCCCCCGCGGGGCAGGCCAAGGGGCAGCCAAGGGGCAGCCAAGGGGCAGCCAAGGGGCAGCCGGGAAGGCCACTTAACCCGCGGCCCTTCCCGTCGGCCGGACGCGCAGCCGCGCACCCCGTCGCTCTGTCTCTCTCGCACCTATAGGGCACGCCCCGTGAGTGCGAGAGAGACAGGGCGACGAAAACCCCTCTCAGTCTGCACGCAAAGAGCATGCGGCACGGCGTCAACAAGTGCGTGTTCCGCACACGCTGAAAAGGGCACGAGAATCTAACAGGTCTTGACCCGCAACCCGACCTATCCTAAACTAACCTAGCCCAGCGTAAAGCCTGCCGTAAGCCTCACACGAGTGGCACCGACGCGCCGGCCCGCCGTGCAGTCAGGCGCTTCATAGAGGAGAACAAGATCAACAAAATCAGCGACGGCAGCGAAAAAGGACGACAACAACAACATGAGGCAGCAGCAACAACAAGCACGCGTTAAGTGGGTACGTGGAGCCCACCGCCCGCCGTCTTCCACGATTAAACACGGGTTGTTGCCGTTGTTAACGATTTATACATTTTCGTCGCCACCGTGCAATAAATCAGTCAATCTTGCTCGCGCTCCGTCTCGCTCGCACTCGCAGGGGGCGGCGCAGGGCCGGGCGCATTCCGACGGCCCTTCGCGCGCGAGAGAGAGCGAGAGAATACGGCGAACCTCGCGTACGGCGCGCGGGTCGCGTCGTCGTCTTACACACTGCCGACCCGGGTACACCACCTCGCTGTTGCCACGGCAACATTGACTCGCGGCGGACCCGGGTTCGATCCCGCTCCGCGTCCGAAACCGAAACCCGCCCGGCCCGCGTGTGACCCCGCGGCCCGGCGGCCGTTACAATAACTAAGGCCACCGTAACAAGGAACAAGGAGCAAAAGCTCGTTTTTCGATAATTGGCCTTTCGGGCGCTCCTCGCGCCGGCAGGCGGCAGCACATTAGTCTTGCGTGTGTGTGTGTACGTGCGCGTGTGTGCGTGCGTGTCGGCCAGCGAACGTGGCCGAACGTGGCGAGGTGCGATATTGGAGGTGATTACAGGAATTAGCGGCTCCCGGGGACGTGCTGGGCATGGTGCTGGGCATGGTGCTGGGCATGGTGCTGGGGACGGCAGGCGCCCCGCGGCTGCAGGCTGCAGGGACCAGGGAAGCCGCAGGGAAGGCCCAGGGACGCCCGAACCGGACCGCCACCCCGGTCAGACGAGCGGGCCGAGCGGGCCGAGCCCCCCCGCGGACCGCGACAAGCTGCGAGTAATTGGCTTAGCTCGGCCACCAGCCGCACCGCCGCACCAGCCACCGGCAGCAGGTGGGATCGGCACCGAGTCCATCGGCGTCTCGATCGGCGTTCGGCGCGGGAGGCTGTCTCCATGCTGTCTCCTCCCCGCGCCGAGGAGCCGGACACCAAGGGGGCGCCCGTGTCGCTTCCTGGTTGGCCTCCGGATGGACAGCACTGCTGAGGGGAAGGGCAGCACGAACACGCTCACACACACACACACACACGCCGACAGGGCCTTTTTGCTAATTCGAACATGGACGGACGCCGCCGCCGCCCCCGCCATCCCGTCGCGGCACCCCCACTACGGCGCCCACCCCACCCACCCCACCCCACCCCACCCCGCCCCGCCCCGCCCCGCCCCGCCCCGCCGCGCCGCGACGCGCCAACAGCTGGCGTTGCGCGCAAGCTGGCCCACGCTGGCGCAAGCGCCGCCCATCGCGAGGCCGCGAGGCAGAGGCCGCCAATCGGGAGGCGAGGGGATCGCCGACGCCGCCGTCCTCTCGCTCTCTCTCTTTCTCTCTCTCAAAATGGAGTCTCGGCGACGCTTCCCGCGTCCCGCCGCCGCGGCGAGGCAACGCGAGGCGAGGGTGGACCGACGACGGCGCCCTCGCGACGAAGACGACGCCGTCTGCGGTGATTTACCGGACGCTGGTCTTGTCCGAGAGGGTCTTCTGGGAGGGTGTCTGCTTACTGCGCTGAGTTGGGCCATGCGCCATTTCCCGCTTGCCTTCGGCCAAGCGTTTTGGCGCGTCGGTTCAGAAGGCTCTACCAGCAGCCGCTCTTAGCTCTCCGTGCTCTTCCCCTTCGATCTGCATAGTCTTTCCGGTGGCTGTTCCAGTTGTTCCAGGCCTCCTGCTCGTAGCTGGCACTCGTTCCAGCGGTTGTTCCAGGGCCGTTCCAGTAGCTGTCCATGTGGTCCTAGCTGCTGCAGTAACTCACACGGCCGGACTGCCGCACATGAGGGCTCCATGCAAATGACTACATGTTAGATAAATACACTCACACACGCACGCACGCACACGCGGCGGTGAAGGTGGCGGGGCAGGGCGCGGCGCGGTGTCGACGCGAACCCCCACCACGCCCGTCCGCGCCCCCGCCGCGCCCCGCCATGCCCCGCCACGCCCCTCGAACCAAACGCGGCCCGGCCTCGTGTAGCGTGTAGCCCCGTGGTGTATCGGCGTGCCGGCCGGATCCTCTCCTCGCCAGTCTCACAGTCTCACCCCGCGTTGCCGCCGCCAAGCGCATGGGCCGGTGACGCGCCACCGGGCCGGAGTGAGGGCGCTAGTGCCGCCAGTGCACCGCGAGGAGGGAAAACGCGGACGTCGTCGCGGATCGGTAGTGCCGAAGTGAACGCGAATGCTTCCCGCGAACGTGAAAGTGAATGTGCTCTCGGCATAATGACCATGGATACGCAGAGCCTTCCCTGTGCCAGGGGCGGCCCCAGAGGCGGCCCCCGTGGGGGTAGCTGGGGGTGCGCGCCGCCCTCCCCGACCAGGCCGACTGCGGTCGTGGTGGCGGGGCTGGCCGTGCCCGTCATCCGCGGCCCCCAGACTCCGGACCCGCGGTCCAGGACGAGGTCCAGGACGAGGTCCAGGACGAGGTCCAGGACGAGGTCCAGGACGAGGTCACGGTCCAGGTCACCGGAGAGCAGCGAGAGCGTGTCGTCCGAGTGCAGCCAGGACAGGCTGGACAGGCAGTTCGGACAGCACTTCAGCCCGGAGCCGCCGCCAGCCTCGCTCGCCCTCCGCGACGGCCTCGGCGTCGTCGGCTACCCCTACCCGTACGCCTACCAGTACTGCGACGTCCCGGCGCCGCCCCCTCTGGCGCCGCCCCCTCTGGCGCCGCCCCTGCCGATGCCGGCGACCAGCGACGCCCTGGACGCGCTGGAGGCCGTGGCCACCCTGAGCGACCTGTACGCGCCGCAAGCCTACCCGTACCCGCTGCGACCGCTGCGGGCGTGGCTGCCTTGGCGGGGGCTGCCAGCTCCACCCCTCACCGCCCCCCACCGCCCCGCCCCCGCGCCGCCCCCGGGGCCCGCCCTCAAGTTCGGCATGGACCGCATCTTGGCCGAGGACGGCTGCGGCGCGACCGCCAGAAGAGGTGAGCTTCCCGGTGATTCATCGCCGAGCCCTTTTCCGCGGTGCTGCGAATTCGGGGCCGAGCCGCACTGCCTGCCCCGCAGAGGCACCGCGCCGCCATTTGCAGGTCGTTGTTTGTGTCGTGCAAGTGGAGTAGGGCGAGCAGGGCGAGCAGGGCGAGCAGGGCGACGGACTTGCAAATGGCGCGCTATTTGGAGGACAGCCGCCGCACTGCAGCACGCACGACGCGTGGGCGTCAAGCCCCCACTTCACTTCCGCGCGTACGTCACGGACCGTCAGGTGCAGCGGGTCGACGGGCACGTGCTACGCGCGCCTGTGGACTGATGAGCGTTCGGTTGCCCTGTCTCTCTCGCGCCCCAACGGGCTGCCCACTGAGTGGGAGAGACAAAGTGAAGTCGTGTGCGGAATCGCTCGAGCGCGCGGGCCTGGTGCATAAGCATTCGGCTCATTCGGAGATTTATTTACTTTTTTACCAATTTTGCGAGGCCACTGCTCTCAATCTAGCTGCGGTCAAAGCCTTTCCGAGGCGGGGCATGAAAGACAAGGGTCTTAAGAATACTAGGTCGTTGAGGGAGACCTTTGACCGCAACTAAATTGGACGCAGTAGCCGCTCAAAGTCAGCAAAAACGGCTGATTCGGAGATTTATTTACTTTTTTACCAATTTTGCGAGGCCACTGCTCTCAATCTAGCTGCGGTCAAAGCCTTTCCGAGGCGGGGCATGAAAGACAAGGGTCTTAAGAATACTAGGTCGTTGAGGGAGACCTTTGACCGCAACTAAATTGGACGCAGTAGCCGCTCAAAGTCAGCAAAAACGGCTGATTCGGAGATTTATTTACTTTTTTACCAATTTTGCGAGGCCACTGCTCTCAATCTAGCTGCGGTCAAAGCCTTTCCGAGGCGGGGCATGAAAGACAAGGGTCTTAAGAATACTAGGTCGTTGAGGGAGACCTTTGACCGCAACTAAATTGGACGCAGTAGCCGCTCAAAGTCAGCAAAAACGGCTGATTCGGAGATTTATTTACTTTTTTACCAATTTTGCGAGGCCACTGCTCTCAATCTAGCTGCGGTCAAAGCCTTTCCGAGGCGGGGCATGAAAGACAAGGGTCTTAAGAATACTAGGTCGTTGAGGGAGACCTTTGACCGCAACTAAATTGGACGCAGTAGCCGCTCAAAGTCAGCAAAAACGGCTGATTCGGAGATTTATTTACTTTTTTACCATTTTTGCGAGGCCACTGCTCTCAATCTAGCTGCGGTCAAAGCCTTCCCGAGGCGGAGCATGAAAGACTAGGGTCTGACGAATACTAGGGCGTTGAGGGAGGCCCGTGACCGCAACTAAATTGGACGCAGTAGCCGCCCAAAGTCAGCAAAAACTGCTAGTTTCGGAGATTCAAGCACTTTGACCTATTGGCCTACTTTGTTCGAGGCTGGCGCCCAAATAATCTCCAATAATCACTAATAATCACCATAATCATTTATAATTTCCCGCAATCAGTGATATTCATAAATAATTAGAAGTAATCACATGTTATCAATATATTATCTATAATTTTAATAATTCAGCAATCAGTGCACATGAAAATCTTCTAGGTTACCCCTTGACTCTTTGCATTACGTTTAACGCGTGGCGCGAGCGGGTCGGAGGATCAGGGGTCGAAGATTCCCACACGCATTCTTCTTCCTCAAGTCGATGACCAGCCCAGCGCCGCCTAGTTTAGCGACGCGATTAGCGGGGCAGGGGCACGCTTGGGTTTATTCATTCGCAGCCAAAGCAGGCCAAGGCCCCGCCTAAGTAGCCCTGCCTTGCCTGGTTGCGGCTAGATGAACGCATAGCTTTGCGCGCCAATGCAATATTTGAACGCCTTGCCTTGGTGCGTCTTTTGTTTTGAACCTGTTCTTGGGGCACTCTGGTGTTCAACGTTCCTCCAGCAGTTCCCTGATCCTGGTCGCCGCGCCACATTTTGCCACACTTTGCCTGTTTGAACCATTGCGTCGCGTCGGTTGCCTCGATCCCTGGAACAGGAAACGGTTGCCCTGCGCCGCAAGCAGGCGGCAAAGGCTCTCATTAAGTGACGTGGCATTGTCACCTCGGCCTCGTGGCCGCCCGCCCGAACGCACTGTCATTTGGAAGCGGCGAGGAACCTGGTTCGATTCCCGGCGATGTGAAATGATGTAAAGTGTGGATGTGGGGTAAAGGGCGCATCACGTGTCGTATTTGTCATTTTCCCGGCTTTCTGCGCGACGAGCAAGCCCGCAATGGTAATGGTAACGAGGGTAGGCCACCGTCTCCGCTCGGGTGTGCTGTGGGCCGGGACGGTGGCCTACATGCCGGGCGCCAAGACCCCCGACTAGCGAAGCGACGCTGACGAGTGGTTACCCACCCTGTCGCTACTGAGCTTGATGGTTCCTTTCTAATCCTGCAGCCTATACAGCAAAACTTCGGCTTTCTTGTAGGTGCAGCGGACTCAACAACGGCGTGCTCGAGGGACATGGTGGCCTTCTCCATGCCGGGTCTGCTGGCGCCCACCCCTCTCCGGATCTACGGCCATGGTGAGTACCGCCGGCAGCGTGATCTAGCGACTAGCGACACCCTGGCCGGCGACACCCTGGCCGACGACACGCGGCAGTCAGCTCCGCGCCCCGAACGGCAAAGGCCCCCCCCCCCCCCAGGGGCAACGCCAGGGTGGCAACGGGCCCCAGATTTACTGCCGCGGAATAAAATGGCGCCGGTAAACACGGAAGCTATCGCGAGCTATCGCATAGGCTGGGAAACGCACTTGAGCCGTCTAGAGCCCTCTATTTGTAGGCCAGAGAAAACAAACACGGTTGATCACGGCGAAGCGCGGTGATGCCTCCCCCTCCCAGCCTCCTTCAACTAGCCGGTGGAAGAGATCACTGCCGACTTGATTGAACGGCCAACGGCTATCATTCAGCGTAACTCGGGCGTTAGTCAGCGCGTCGCGTGGCGTGGCGTGGCGGGGCGGGGCGGGGCGGGGCGGGGCGGGGCGGGGCGGGGCGGGGCGGGGTGGGGCGGGGCGTGGGCGATGGATAGCGAGGGGCTGGCGAGGGAGGGCGCGTGCAGGCGAGTGGGAGGGCGGCGGAGAAGTAACTGACGAAGCCTCTCAGCACCTCGCCGCCTCGTTAACCGCACTGAGGCGGCCCAGATAAATTCGCTTTGATCCTAAAGGCCCATCCCCTTTCCCTCCACACCTACGCCCCGGCCGGCATTCCCCGCCTCGGCAGGGCCGGGGGCAGAAGACTGATCCAGAGATCGTTCTCTCTCTCTCGCACTCATGGGGCGTCCCCCATACGTGCGAGAGAGACAGAGCGACAAAAACGACTCTCGGAATTACAGGGCGCCGGCCGCAGCCAGGCAGCCGCCATGCGCACAGCGCGCACAGCTAAATACGTGTAAACAAATGGCCGGCAGAGCAATAAAAGCGGAGGAGTAGCAGCGAGCAGCCTGACTCGAAGCTCGAGGCAACAGCTCCTTTGCGTCGAGAACGCTCGCCTGACCGCGCCGCCCTTGTTGCAGACGTCCGGGCGGCGCCCAGCCCGCCGCCGGCGCACCTCGCCGCCCCCGCCGCCCCCCACGAGGCCCACGCTCCGGGGGCGGCCGGCAGCGGGGGCGGCAAGCGGAAGCGGTCCTGGTCGCGGGCCGTGTTCTCCAACCTGCAGCGCAAGGGGCTGGAGAAGAGGTTCCAGCTGCAGAAGTACATCACCAAGCCGGACCGGCGGCAGCTGGCCGCCACCCTGGGGCTCACGGACGCGCAGGCAAGTGGAGGCCCAATCAGTGCTTGCTTTCCTTCCGCCGCCTTTCCTGCAGTCCTGAAGTAACACGTGCTTGCTTTCGGCGTTGCAGGTCAAAGTGTGGTTCCAAAACCGGCGCATGAAATGGCGCCACACCAAGGAGTCGAAGCAGCAGCCGCCGCCGCGCTTGGACGACCTTCAGGACGACCTTTCGAAGCGAGACGTCATGGCCGCCATGCCGAGGAGTGGCGCTTCGTGAAACCGATTCCTTGAACAGCTCACGAGGGCCGCGTCGGTTGCTCCACTCTCCGAAAGTGAATGGTGCATCAGGGCGATTGGCGCATTGGTGTATCGGCGCCGCGCCGGGTAGGCCACTCATCGGGCAGGCGCGTCACATCGGTGCCTTCTCGGCCGTCTCGGCGTGGACGGTGGACTATCGAGACTATCGAGGCGCGGCGTCTGCCTGTCACATTTTCGAGTGCAGGTCCGCGGGCGCCACACACGGCCAGGCATTTAATTATCCAATCAGTTCCGCGCATTGGGTAACGGCTTATCGCGGTTCGGCGGTGCGGCGATGCGGCGGTGCGCCACGCCACCGTGAAATAATGAAGGCGTTTTATCGTCTGGCGCTATCTGGCTCGGCACACAGTCACACACCTCGATGTGTAAGTGGCCAGGCGTCCCACAGGACCTCCAGCGAGGCGCGTGCGGGGAGGGCCGGCAGGGCGGGCGGCGTGCGGGTGGAGATAGCAGTGCGTCCGAGCGGCAGCAGGACTGCCTTGGACTGGACGCCTTGGACTGCCACGCCGCAGTGTTGACGCGACGCGCGGCTTCCCGGCCTCAGCAAGCTCGGCCTCCACGGCCACCATGTCGGGCTCCACGTCGTGGCGGTCCGCGTTCGGCCAGGTGCGCGCCTGCTCGGGCGTGCTCATGCTGGGCCTGGTGCAGGGCATGGCCATCGGCTGGTCGTCGCCCGCGCTCACCAAGCTGCGCGACGGCAGCGGCCCGTTCCAGCCCACCCTGGACGAGGCCTCGTGGATCGTGTCGCTGTTCGACCTCGGCTGCGGCCTCGGCGTGCTGGTGGGCGCGGCCGTGTTCACGCGCGTGGGCCGCCGCCGCACCCTGCTCGTCGGCCCCGTCTCCTTCTCGTGCTGGTGCCTGCTGACGTACTTCGCCACGGCGCCGGGCTACCTCATCGCGGCTCGCGCGCTGGCCGGCGCGGGCCAGGGCATGTGCATGTCGTTCTCCTACATCTACGTCGGCGAGGTGGCCACGCCGGCGATGCGCGGCGCGCTCATCCTGACCGTGACGCTGCTGCTGCCGGTGGGGCAGCTGCTGGCCTACATCGTGGGGCCCGTCGTGTCCTTCTGGACGCAGGCCTTGGTGCCGCTGCCCGGCGCGCTGCTGTCCGGACTGCTCATGCTGTTCGTCATGGACGAGACGCCGTTCTACCTGGCCATGCAGGGCCAGCACGACCAGGTCGTCGCCACCCTGGCGCGGATCCGCGGCCGTGGCCACCTGGCCGACGAGGACGCGGGCGGCGCGGTGCGCGCCGAGGCCGCGGCGGTCCGCGAGGCGGTGGAGCGGCAGCAGCGCGACGCCGCGACGTGGAGGGACACGCTGCGGCCGCCAGGGGCCAAGCGCGCCGCCATCATCGTGTTGGTGGAGAGCGGCGCCCTGGCCGCCGTCGGAGTCACCACGGTGCTCGCCTTCACGCAGCAGATCTTCGAGCACGCCGGCACGCCCGTGCGCGCGGACGTGTCGGCCGCCGTGCTCATCGCCATCAAGGTGGCCATGGTGCTGGTGTCCATGACGCTGATCGAGCGCCTGGGCCGGCGGCTGCAGCTGGGCCTGGGCGCCGTGGCCAACAGCGTGGCCATGCTGGGGCTGGCGAGCTTCTTCCTGGCCCGCGACGTGCTCGGCGCGGACGTGTCCGGCGTGCGGTGGCTGCCGCTCGTCTGCCTCGCGCTCTTCATCTCGGCCACCGGGGTGGGCGTCAACGCCGTGCCGCAGGTGCTCATGTCGGAGCTGCTGTCGCAGCGCGCCAAGGGGCTGGTGGCGCCCGTGGCCGTGGTCATCGTGTCCGTCACCTCGTTCGGCCTCAACAAGGCCTTCCTGCTGGTGGGCAACCGCTACGGCTTCCACCTGCCCTTCGGCCTGTACGCCGTCACCAACCTCCTGGTGGCCGTCTTCACGTTCCTCGTCGTGCCCGAGACCAAGGGCAAGACCCTGGCCGAGGTGCAGGAGCTGCTCCGCGACGCGGACAAGGCCGACAAGGTGAAGGGCCGCAAGCCGTCCTGGGACCCGCGGATCGGCGAGAAGCTGGCCAAGAACTCGCTGGAGCTCACCTACACGTTCCCCGGCGCCAACAAGTCCGTCATCGCGGACCTGGAGTGTGACAACGACTGAGTGCGGGGGGGCAGTGTCTTCGAACCCAGTGAAATGGACCTCTGACCCGCACGTGGTCAACACACGGACCCTTGGTGAACATCTAACAATCTCACGAAAATGGACATTTACTTAGATAATTGAATCGAAGTGTCACCGTGCCACCGGGGTACAGTATTTAATTTTCCACTGTAATGTAGGTTCTGAAACATGGTATACATGCTGGACATTTAGGCTTCATGAATCTACAAATGAAGTATTTGGGAGGTCGACGCCGATATTGTTAATCGACTTCCTGTGATATACGTGTGCTGTTTTACAAAACTTGCGTTAACTCGAACTGAAATCTGTGATATGTCTATATGCTGTAACTAATTTGTTCTTATGTTGTGTACAAACAATAAATATTCGAAAACTAACTCTGCTTCATTAATGGCTCAAAAATTTGGGATGGCTGGGGAGGTGAGAACATAATTGATCCGTATGATATTAATTAAAAAATTATACGGATTTTTAAATGGCCGAAAATGTTGGGTTCATTTCCACCCACATGCAGTATCATTTGATAAAAACGAAAGGAAAAACAGGGTTTAAAATGTGCGGTCTCAGCTTGTTGAAGGCCCTCCCCGATCGGCCGGCCAAGTGCTTTCCACTCGGTTCAAGTACGTGGTCAATGACGGCGTGTTCACGGACCAGCATCGTGCACAGCACACGTCATTCTAGACAGGCACGAAGAAGATAAAGCCGAATTGTTTCCGAAAATTTTATCTGACCACTCACGCCGATGCGTGATTGCGGCTTTGCGAAAAACGAAATTTAAAGATTTTTTCGTTTTTTGCCTTCAATCAAAACGGTGAGGAGAATCGCCCTATATTGGCAGTGGCGTATTCGTGTGAGGCCTAGGCGGCTGCCTATCTGGCCGGCGCTCCTTTTGCTGCCACTTGAACTTGAACTTGAGTGGCTGGACCACCAGGGATCGCGTTGCAAGTCCAATCACTCGCCGCACTCGGTAGCAACGACGTAAAATGACGTCGTGGATGACGACAAAACCAAAGCAACTGTGTTTTTCTTTTCTTTTCGTTTTTATTTTTTTTCGGAGAGGCTATAGAAATGTATTGGCTGGGTGGCGCGGCCGCGGCGGACAGCTAGACTAATACTAAGACTGGGCGTGTTATCTGGAACTGTTTCATCCCTCATCAACGTGCCGGCCGCGCCGGCGGGGGGAACGACCGGGCGACCCGGCGCGGCGCACTGCGACGCGGATGACGCGAATGACGCGCAGCGCGCAGCAGCCCCGCAAGGCCGTCGCCAGCAACAAATGTCTCCATTGTCCCGACAGCGGGAAACAAAACGACACAAATTTCTTTCTTTAAATAAAAACCGCGACGGACTGAACTTCTGGAAGACCTTCTGATAACGCTTTGCCTTTGAGTTTTCCGGACTTTACAGAGTGCCATCGGCGTGGGTGAGCTTTTCGAAGTGACACCGCGCACCGCCGACCTGGAGTAGTCAGCGCCATGTACTTTCAAATCTGACTGACCGATTCTGTGGCCCGACTCTTTCACCAAATAAAATGTGACGCGTCGAAATAAAAGCAAAACAATTGCCTTTTCAAGGATGCCTGTCTTCCGAGGCGGCGATAACTTCATTGCATGTCAGATTGCGTCCACGGTTCAGCAATTAGGCGGCAAGACCGTTGTTCCGTGCGGCCAGTGCGGCCCCAGCGCATCGGTGGACCCAGAAGTTTCGAATTGAAATGAATGGAAGACTCTCCAGGCATTCGGAATTCGGTGTACGACGCGCACGAAGTTTCAGTCAAAAGTACACAGGAAAGTAAAACCACGTCGGAAGAGCGTCGAAAGTGACCTCATCGGACGCAAGTTGCAGCCGGCCCGCGGTGTCGAATGGGTTGCCTACCCGCGGGCGCACTTCTCGCGTGGCGGCCGCGGCTCGGATGGGCCCAGCCATGCTCAGAGCGATGCCCCGCCAACATTGACATTGGCTGGTTGTTCTCGCAGAATCCACTGACTCGGCGATGCAGTTTCCACACGTCTCGCGGCAAAAAATGAAAACAAACAAAACAACAACAGCAGCAATGACAACAGACAAAAGCCTCGATGATTACAACATCAGGTCTCTGTACTTATTTATTTATTTATTTATTGACTTTTTGTTTTTAAAGTGGAAATATTCAGGTGATTAGGTCTTGACTGGGCATTTTAAAATGGGGTGGCTCCAGTTGACCCACCCCTCAGCTGACCTACTTAAATATAGGTATAGGTCAACAGAGAGATAGGGGTAGGCTGGGGAAGAACAGTACAGGGTAAGAAAAGAACAAGCCTTGTGGAGCTGATCCCTTGACTTTTAGCCATCCCTCGACCAGTGATTTCAACTTAACGTGAAAATCTGAGTGAGAAAACCCTGTTAAATCGATGTCATGGACTGGAGCAGTAGGCCACAAGAGGGCTGTACTTTTCTTACCCTGTGCTTTTCTTCCCCCACCTACTCCTAGGTCGACAGATCTACGTAACATCCTTCTAAAGGTAGTGGTACGTTAACCCTGGAATTTGGACTTGCCTTGAACGTATCTCTTTTGGGGGCGCTCTTTTTTCACTGCAAAAGTAATTCAGCAAATCAAATCTTGTCTGCAGTACACGCGCGAGGCCGCCCGGCCGGGGCGTTGGGGAGATTGGGCGACTGCTGTTTCTTTTGGACGACATTCTTGCATCACGCCAATGCCATCACGCCAATGCTGTGCTGGGCCGGCTAGGCTGCAGACTGAGAGTCGTTTTCGTCGCCCTGTCTCTCTTGCGCTCATGCGGCGTCCCGTATTGGGTGCGAGAGAGACAGAGCGCCGAAAAGTTCTCTCGGAATCAGTCTCCTGATTCGGAACGGCAATTGAACCGGAGCCGCTCGAGTGCCCGCTCGAGTGTCCGCTGAGATCATCCACAGCTTCACCAAATTCGGCGAGTCAACCAGGACTGAATAGTTTTATCAGTGAGTCCCCGACCCAGGAGAAGTGGCGGCCCCCACAAAAAGGCACCCTGTCGTGCGAAACGAAATGTCGAGACTTGACGGTCGCGCCCTTCGTGCGTGGGTGGGATCAGATCAGTGTCCGTTCCCTGACGCTAAAGGCGGTTCGCCGACAGGGCTGCCAACCTCGTCCAACACGTGTGTTCGAAATCCGGTTCACAGTGAACGTCTCAGGGAAGGAGGCACCGTTCACCGTTATCGCGAACCGGGCCCAGGAGAGAGAGAGAGAGAGAGAGAGAGAGAGAGAGAGACAAAACGAGAGAAACGGCTTCCTCCGCGCGATAGAAGCGGTCGTCATCAAAGCCAATTTATCATCCAATTAACTACAACATTTTGCGCATCATTGTAGATATCACACATCGCATGACGAAACCTTCCGAACCTAGTCGAGCCGAGGGTTGCCGAGCGTGGAGCGTGGCGCCGAGAGACTCCGTCCGCGCCGTCGGCGAGGAGACGCGCCTTTCGTAAACATGGCACCGAGCATGGCACTGGCTACAGCCCTGCGGGCCCTGCGGCTTGTCGGACGATTCGGTTTGTTTATTGTTGTGGTGCCCAAGAATGAGATGTTGCCGCTAGCGCGTCACCTTTTGCGAAACGGATCGAGTCCCGGGATGACCCGCGCAGCCTCGAAGCATTGTGTAGTTGCCGACGGCGACGGCACGCGACCCTACACTCGAGACTCGAGGGAGCGGTGGGGCGGTCCCCAGCCCCAGGCGGTCCACGTGGCTGGGTTGGCAGCCGTTGCAGTTGGCACCACTGGGGCGACAGGTGTCACAGCGCAACTTGCTGGGGGTTTCTATCGACGATTTTGAACCTGTCATCGTCAATAAGCAGTCTGGTCCTTTCTCAATTTCACCGCGGCAGGAACAATTGTATCTTAATAAATTGGCAAACACGAAAAAAGGCGAATGGGGCGTTATCGGAAGGGAAGGGAAGGCCCGGGCCGCGCCGCCCCTCCGTGGCGCCACGCTGCCCCCGCCACACCCTGGACGCGTGCCTGTGGCAGCGGGCGTAGCGGGCGTAGCGGCCGTGTCGACATCTCCCCCGAGCAGCCCGCTGACGTCCCGCAGCGTCCCGGTTCGCTCCCGTCGCTCCCGTCACCGCACTATCGGCCGCGCGCTTTCGGCAAGCAGCGCCAAGTCCCCCCGCCCCGCCCCGCCCCGCCCCGCCCCGCCCCGCCCCGCCCGGAGCACCCCGCCGCGCCCCGGAGCCTGGGCGCGGAGTGGCACGGAGCCAACCCGGCAGCCCCGGAGCGCCGGCGGGCCGGGGGCGAAGTCTTATCAAGCCGCCCGCGCCCCGGGTCCATTCAGTGTAGAGGACGCCGCCGTGCCGAGAAGACGTGACGACGCGCTGCTCCCCGTGCCGCCCCCGCCGCCCCCGCCGCCCCCGCCGCCCCGCGTCCGAGCCAGCCCCGCGCCCTGGCACCCGCCGCCGCCGCCAAGCAGGCGAAGCAGGCCGAGCAGGCCGACAAACGCCACGAGATGATCGGAGTGGTCACCATGCCCGAGCAGGCCAAGCACACCGTCAGCGAGCCCATGGACGTGCCCGCCAAGCAGGCCCTGTACAAGACTGAGGGGTCGCCGCCGTCTAGCGTGGTGAGTGCAGTGCAGTGCAAGCTCCAGAGTCTCGCATCAATGTGACCACCACCTGGAAGAACAAATTAGGGGGAAGTTGGGGAAGACAAGTACTGTGTGAGAAAAGCAAACCCTAACGGAGCTGCTTGTCTCATCTTGCACTTTTCTTCCCCAAATTACCCCAATACATTTTAAACAAGTTAAAGAAATTATCGTGCAACTCTTGGCAATTTAAGAAATGACAATGACTCAACCACTACTGTGGTTTATTAGAACTCCCATCGTCCCGGAAATGTAGTAGTAGTGCTCACGGCTATTTTTAGTCGGAATTCGGGTCCCCACGAGAGAAACGCGTGGAAGCGGGGATCGATAGGCTCGCGTACTCCGTCGCAAAACGAATTCGAAATTGGGTCGTCCTAGATTACAGCCGGGTCAAGACTTGCTCTCGCGCGAGTCCAATTCCGCGGCGCGAGACGAGACGCGGGCAGCGTGGTGATCGTCGGCACGTTGGCGATAACGGCATTGGAGCTGGATGAGGCAAGCTCCGTGGGAGCGGCTAGCGGCACCGGCGGCTGCTCGGCCGGGAGGAAGCAATGACATCAGTGGCGGCCGATAGTGCCCCAGCGGTCCCAGCGGTCCCACCCCGAGGCGCGGTGGCGCGGTGCCGCTGTGTGTGTGCCCTTGACCTCGGCGGCGAGGCGAGCAGCGGTCCTAAGACCGCCGATAAGCGTCCGTTCCTGCGGTCACAGCGTTACAGCCCCGCCGTCGCCGCCCCGAGCGAGAACGCCTGGAGAGAGGCATGGCGGTGCGGCCGCGAGGAGGTGGCCGAAAGCTTGTTTTTGAGGGGTCCAGCACCGCCGTCGCGCACGGTTCGCTGGCCTGGTTGTCGGTCCCGGCGCATTCGGGGTGGTGCGCCAATAAGGACATGTGCAGTGGCTGGCGACGCCGCCGATGTCACTGGCGGCCAGCCAAGCGAAGGCTGCACGCCGTTGCGGTAGGTTAGGCCTGCTGGTATTAAGATGTCGCACGGCGCCCCGCCCCGCCCCGCCCCGCCGTGAGGGCGATAGGGGGCGTGGCCATCAGCTGCTATCTACCCACCCCGCCCCGCCCCGCCCCGCCCCGCAGCCAGGCCAGCAACTTGGCCAGCAACTTGGCCACCAAGCCGCGAGCCGGGCCAAGCTGGATGGCGCGGACCACGCCCGTCCCGCCCCGCACCAGGAACAGGAATCTGACGAGATACCCGGTGCCGATGATATGGAGTGAGTGAAAGAGGGAGAGAGGGGGGAGGCAGCGCGGCACAGCGCGGCACAGCACGGCCAGCCCGGCGCGGCGCGGCGGTTTCTGCTCTGTTTTCTGATGTAACTCGGATCGCTCCTTGCAGCTGGCGGCGCTGGCCGCGCGGCTGGAGGCGTTCCCGTCCATGCAGGCCGCCTTGGTCGTCATTGGGTTCCCCTTGACCGTCATCGGGAACCTCGAGCGGCTCGGGGAAAAGGACAGGGGGGGGGGAGGGGGGCATGACGCGCGAACTCGCCCGGTGTCGTCAACATTGAAATTTCTCTGCGCCGAAAGTCGTGTTTATTTTGCTCTGGCTGTCGGACTCCCCCGTCGATCCCCTCCGACCAGAGCCCCCGGGAATGAATGAGTCTGAGTCGCAGTGCGTCAGTGCGTCTCCGCCGCCTCTCCCGCCCTGCCGCCGCCGTCCGTCGACCCACGGCCTCGGCGGCCTCGGCCTCCGCGACGACGTCAACGCGCTGTCGACAGCCTCGGCGCCTCGGCGATGCCGGGCGCGATAAGGCGCGTCACAACAATAACCAAAATACCGAACAGAGTTCGTTGACAATGAGTCAGGAAATGGAAACTTAGCGCTTGCGTTTTCGGCCCACTGCGCCGTGCTGCGAGCTTTGCTCCTCGGCCCTCCTCGGCCCTGGTTCGGCGTGGCCCCCGTTACCGCGTGCTGGCCGTGCTGGCCGTGCTGGCCGCTCCGATATTCCCGGCACGGCGGTGCGACGTCGACGTCGATGTCTGCCCGTCATTAAATGTCGCCGCTCGTACAATGTCCGCGGCACTTAGCGCTCGGCGCGGTAATTCCCTGTCGGCAGAGCGGCGCGTCTCCGCGTCCACGTCGTGAACGTCTACGTCCAGGCAGCCAAGGCGGCCGACGGCCCGCTCGGCCTGCAAGGCCTCGGCAAGGCCTCGGCAAGGTCACCGCGCGCCGCGCCACGCCGTGCCCCTGACCAAAACGCGGCTCGCCGTGTGCTCCGGCTAGTGGGCCCGCGGATGTCAGGCCGCCTTTTCATTCATCACAGTGTGCCGACTGCTACCGAGTCGCTGCCGTACTCGGGCGTGCAAGTCACCGGTGCAGGCGGCGCTCGGGCCGGCCGCGGGGGAACGAGTTCTCGAAATTTGACGTGTCCGTCTCCGTCTGAGATGAGGACGGCGAGTGGCTTGTCGTGGTCGGGCACGTGGTTAGTGTTAATTGGAGTTCGAGGCGCAGATCACTCAGGACAGGACTCGGGCCGCGGGTCGGCGTGCCGTCGGCGTGCCGTCGGCGTGCCGTCGGGGTGGAGGAGAAGGGGAAGGGGCAGGTCGTGCCTCGAGGCTGGCCTGGAGGCTGGCGCGCCGTCTGCGCGCCGACGTCACGGGGGCTGTGGTCAGCCTGAGGCCTATAAAACCGCCCGCCTCCGCGGCGCCGTCCAGTCCTCCTCCAGGATCCGTTTCAAGTGCACCGCGGCAGCGCGTCCCGCCGCGACCTGTCGTGCGACGCGTACGGTTCGAACCTCCGGCCGAACACCCGGACAAAGCCCGCCCGGCAGCTCCACTGCTGCTTCCGCTGCTTCCGCTGCATCTGCCCCCGCGGTTGCATCAGCGATAAGCGGCGCCGGCCGAGCGCAGTCGAGCGCTCCGTCGTGGCCTTCCCCCGCTGCCCCCGCTGCCCCCGCCCGGACGCGCTATCGAAGGAAGTCTCTGGACTCGAGTCCCAAAGCCCAAAATGGCACCCACGCTGGTCATAGATTACGATGTGAGTGTCGGTGAGGCTTTTAACGATGATATATGTGGAGCTCGGGATAAGGAGAAGCGGAGATTCTAATTTTGAAAGCAGTGATTGCGTTGTTGTTTTTGACACCCAACAAAAAACCCTGGTGGCTTCCGTTATCCGTGGCCGTCTCTGCCCGCAGCCCACGCTCATGGACGGCGGCAACTACATCAAGGAGGGCAAGGACGCCGCCAAGAGCACCTGCCTCATCTTTTCGCCCAAAGCTGACGAGGTGGGCGCCCTCGCCCGCTCCCTCAAGATGTTCGAGGTAAGTCAAAGCCTTGGTGGGTGCAGGCACTGCAGTGATGTGGCGAGGGCGACAAAACTGAGAGAGGGAATTTGGAAATCCTTAGGAGCACGGCGTCAACCTGCTGCACATCGAGTCGCGCTCCTCGCTGCGCGTGCCCAACCAGTACGAGTTCATGCTGGAGTGCGCGCCCGGCGGCGACCTCGGCTCCGCCATCGAGAACCTCCGCCAGCAGGCTGCCTACTTCAGCATCATCTCGCGCAACTACAAGGACAACATGGGCACGGTGCCGTGGTTCCCGCGCCGCATCCGCGAGCTGGACCGCTTCGCCAACCAGATCCTGTCGTACGGCGCCGAGCTGGACGCCGACCACCCCGGCTTCACGGACGAGAAGTACCGCGCCCGGAGGAAGTACTTCGCCGACCTCGCGTACTTCTACAAGCAGTGAGTACTCGCGGCACTCGTCCTCCTCCCAAGCTAGGGCTATAGCTAACGTCGTCCTGCCTGCTGCAGCGGCGAGCCCCTCCCCCACGTGGACTACACCCCCGAGGAGATCGAGACTTGGGGCAAGGTGTTCCGCGAGCTGACCAAGATGTTCCCGCGCTACGCGTGCCGGCAGCACAACCACGTCTTCCCGCTGCTCATCGAGAACTGCGGCTTCCGGGAGGACAACATCCCCCAGCTGGAGGACATCTCCAACTTCCTGAGAGGTAAGGGGCGGCACCGCGCGTCCACCACACTGTGACTTGGAGTGCGAGTGGGAGAGAGACTGACACTGCGCTCCGCATGCCTCCGCAGACAGCACGGGCTTCACGCTGCGCCCGGTGGCCGGCCTGCTGTCGTCGCGCGACTTCCTGGCGGGGCTGGCCTTCCGCGTCTTCCACTCCACGCAGTACATCCGCCACCCCTCGCGGCCCTTCTACACCCCCGAGCCCGACGTGTGCCACGAGCTGCTGGGCCACGTGCCGCTGCTGGCCGACCCCGCCTTCGCGCAGTTCTCCCAGGAGATCGGGCTGGCGTCCCTCGGCGCCCCCGACGACTACATCGAGAAGCTCGCCACCGTAAGTGTCTGCTGAGGGCGCAAAGGGGGCAAAGTGCAACGTTTTGCCTGCCTTTCGGGCGGCCTCGCCACCTCCAGGGGTGGGCGACGCCGACGCCCCCATTGCCACCCTTTTGGATTCGCGCCTGGTCTGGGACTGCGGTGCGGACCACCGGTCTGTCTGTCTGTCTCTCTCGCCCTGGCTGACCATCCTTCTCCCTTCTCTGCCCGCAGTGCTACTGGTTCACGGTGGAGTTCGGGCTCTGCAGGCAGGACGGCACCCTCAAGGCGTACGGCGCGGGGCTGCTGTCCTCGTTCGGCGAGCTGGAGTACGCCATCAGCGAGAAGCCTGAGCTGAGGCCCTTCGACCCCGCCAAGACGGCCCTGCAGAAGTACCCCATCACCGAGTACCAGCCCATCTACTACGTCGCTGAGAGTTTCGAGGATGCCAAAGAGAAGATGATGTACGTTTTGCCCATCTTCGAGTGGACTGCGTCATGGCATTACTGCAGTTTGTCTAATGAGATGCTGTGCTTTGTTTCAGAAAATACGCCCAGACCATACCGCGGCAGTTCACTGTACGGTACAACCCCTACACGCAGAGCATCGAGATGCTGGACTCCAAGCCCCACGTAGTGCAGTTGGTTCATGACATCAATCGGGAGATACAGATCCTGGGTGACGCCCTGAAAAAGCTGTGACCAGGTTTGCTTGGGAAGATTTTGTAATGATGGCAGACTGATCTATTTTAGAGGAGCATTAGGAAGATTGAATTAATTGAGAGTGATAGTATGTTGGTCATATCATCTTATTTCGAGTACAAAATGACTGGTGGTCAAGAACCTTTCTATCATTGTTGTGATAGCCGTCCAAACTACCAGTGGAGATGATCTAAAGAATCATTTCACTTAGATTAAGGAGTATTGAACTGTACTGTTTATCAGTGTCAAATAAGATTAGGAGCATGCCATGACATCCTTATTAATCATGCACCATTGACAATATGTATACAGTCACCACATTGCATGTAACTTTGAATGTAATTTATAATTTATAGGACTTATTGAGTCCAAATTTCCAAATCTGTGTTCCTATTAAGTTGTAATAATGTATGTAAATAAATAAAGATTAGGTAAATTTAAACACATTAGTTAAAAGATCATTGAACATATTTATTTTACAGCACCACTACTTGGTTTTGGCAGTAATCAAAGAATTTCCAGTCTGTACCTAACAAAAACAAAATGAAAAAAAAATTACATGACTAGTTTTAACAGCTCATTTCTACAAACAATTTTGCACAATTAGGTTTCCTTTCTTCTGATTTTTCTCAGGTTACATTTATTTAGAAAAACTACTGAAGATAAAATAGGCTCACAAAGACTCACAAAGACTCAAGCAGTACTCCTCATGCAGAAGAATCCTGCTAAGACATGCAAATATGTACTCCTGCAGTCTCAAGAGACTGATGCAACAAATGATTACTGCCTAAACCATTTGTGTTTCAACAAACAATAACAAGAAAGCTCTCCATTATAATTATGAAAAAAATTCTTAGATTGTAACAAAACAAAATAACGACCATGTAGATGAATGGCCTTGAAGGTCACATACAAAACTACTTTAGACTAATGATGACACATCATTTACAATCAAGATGAAATTCTCATGCCTTACATCAAGGTAATATGCAGAAGAAATAAGATTTTCATGCCTAGATATCAACATGCAAAGATGGAAGTAAACAGGACAAAACATATTAATTATGTAAAAAAAACACTCTCAAGAACAGCAAAAGTCAAAACCTTATGCAGGGGCAGTCAGTAGACACTTCTACAAATCAATAAAATTTAAAGCATGTAAAAAAACAAAACACAAGCTAATAACATTTTAAATCTCTTGTTATTTGGAAAACGTACTAAAAAGGAAAACATGATACCTTGTTTTCGATGGGATGGAGAGTTACAAATTGTTAGCAGAATTATGACTTTCAATGAATAAACAACTTTGATTGCAATTGCAACCTTCTGAAAAGAGACTTGTTGGAGCATCCTGTTATTTACAGAGACCAAGGTGTGAATGTCAAATCATTGATCACGAAAAGGAATTGACACAGTTTCAGTGGTTGGAGGAATGCAAGGCAGTGTAACAGTAATAATTATGTTACAGGCAGTGCAATATAAACTTCAAAAAATTTATTAACTGCTTCACAATGAGTGTGATGTCTACTGGTATTCAAACTAACAAAATTACCTTCCAAAAGCCTTCAGGTGTAACATTGAGCAGTTGTGACTTCTTTATTCAAAAATGCTTCTTCTTTGTTTCAAAATAGAGCTAAGAAATGTATGAGAATTGTGTGTAGATAACATCGCTATCTAGAACAAAACAAAAATGACGTACGGAATAAAAGTAAAAAATACAAATGGTTGCTGAGGCCACAGTAGTAGTAACAGAAAGAGACAAAAGATCACTATTTACTGTCGAAATGACAGGGAAATGGGCAGTCTTCAATGGAGAAGAAAGGGACAAAGATGAAATCAAACAGCAGAGACCCATTAAATTTGTATCACAAACTCATCAAAACTGACTGCGAAGCAGTCAGAACATATGAGGGCAGTGAAGGTTAGACAAGGAGTTTCTCTCCGAAACAACAACATTCAATCTATCACCAACAAATACAACCACTATTGTGATTTGTAGAGTACAGTATTGGGCTGATGCTATTCAACTCAAGTACAGACATACTATGCGTGTGGTTTAAACAATAACTAGGAGCTTGTCAATGGCCGTGCAAATCAAAACATTTCCTCTTCACTAAACATAACAGCACATTGACTTGAAGCTACACCAGATATGTGTAGAGCAGTGATTCATTATGATTCATTAAAATTATTTCAAAGACATTAAAACATCCAGAAAACAAACATAAACCTTCAGTTTAAAAAGGTAGACATATATTTGGTGTAATTTATTCAAGCTACAATCTCATAAACACAGAATAGTGTGATGTATAACTGCCAGAACAAAGCCTTCAAGTTTCATCATAAATTGTACAGATAAAAAGAAGATACTGTAAAATAAAATATTGCAGTCAATGCCTTACATTTTCTCCTTGGCAGCAACCTCTAAAACTAATACAAGCTCTGGGGAAATATAGTTTACAGTTTTTACAGAAGACTCAAAGAAGACCTGCTGAATACTTACCATGGTAGCAGTACTGCTTTCTAAAGGATTCTCCATATATTTCGCAGCAGAAGGAAAACCTAAAATTTTCTACTGAGATCATAAAGTTCAAAAAATAAGCCTTTCAGAAATTGTAAAAGAACAATCAAATTGATTAAATATCATAGTGAAATGGAGATTGGTACTGAGTCTTTTCGAAAAACCTGAATGTGACTAACAAATTTACAAACAAAAATTATCATTTAAAAAAAAATTATCACCAGAGAAGGTCTTCTATCGGCCACAACCAGATAAACAGAGCAAAAACTCTGTGTACTTTGTTACGAGTAATATAATATTATCTTAAAAAGCAATAATAGAATGGATAATATTATTACAATAATAGTGATAAAGGGGGTTTAATTGGGGGGGTGGGGGGGAAGGGGGAGGGAATAACAGCAAATGCTTCAAATTGCAAAATTGCTGAAGCTCAGGTTAAGTGACTGTCATGAATACAGAATACTCTTAAAAAAAAGTCTTGTGAGTCAGCACAAGTTCCTTCAGCTCTTGCCTAATGAAGGAACACCTTTTTAACTGATTATAAAATTAGGAGGGAATAGCCATACAATTTTTCAACATAATTATGATATGGCGTTTAACCTAAGGTCATCTCCTATTTTCCTTTCTTTTCTGGAAAAAAAATCAGTCTACAATCATCCTCTCTCTTCAATCAAATGTGTCATATTTTCTCACTTCCAACATTTCACCAAAAAAAGTGCAAAGTTTATCAGAGGAATTTTATCAAAGGCATTGAAAATTCACAATCATTAAAAACTTTGTATTGGAGGCAGAAGCCTACAACTGCAAGTCTTGCCCAAAGAATCAGTCAAGTTAACCAGAACTTGTTTCCACTTAGAGATCTACTAAGAGGTTGAGCTTCACATGGTTGATTTACTTAATGTAATAGATTTTTCAGAACAATAGAATACTTTCTTTTCTTTAAGCCAGTGAGATATCAGAAACAGCTCTTGCAGCTTGATCAGCAGGTTGTTCTTCTTCCTCTTGTGGCGGTATAATTGGTTGAGGGACATGAACAGGCTGAGGCTGGATGAGAGGTATTAGCTGCAGCTGTGGTTGTGGGATGATAGGTTGAGGTTGAACAAGTGGATGCTGTGGGAGTTGCTGATGTAGCTGCGGTGGTGGTTGCTGTTGTGGTGATTGCTGTTGGGGCGGTTGCTGTTGGGGCGGTTGCTGTTGGGGCGGTTGCTGTTGGGGCGGTTGCTGTTGTGGCTGCAGTTGGGGCTGCAGTTGGGGCTGCATTTGCGGCGGCGGCTGCAGTTGTGGCTGTAGTTGCGGCTGCAGTTGAGGTGGCATTTGTGGCTGCTGTTGGGGCTGCTGTAACTGTAGCTGCTGTTGCTGTTGCTGCAGCTGCTGTTGTTGCTGCTGGATTAACTGTTGTTGCAGCGCTTGGTTCTGATGAAGTTGTAAAAGTTGCTGCAAATTTGCAGGCGGCCCAGGATGCTGAAAAATATTCTGATGCTGCCCTGACTGAGCTTGGGCTGACTCGGCTCCTTCAATAGGTGCAACAATTACAAAATTTCCAACCGAGTCTAACTCAAGAATAGGATCTGCCGTAGCTTCAGCCAAATTGGTGACTGACTTTGACTTCACACACTGATAAACAAAAATAAAACAAACTATTAGTAAACAGAATAGTTCCAGTCTGAACAAAGGTAACTTCATACTCTATATACTCACCTGAAAATCAACATGTCTACTCTTTGCTTCCTCCTTCTCCCAAGACATGTGGATGAAAGGTCGCTGAACATAATTGTAAATAACCTCAGACCGCCCACCAGCTCTCTTCTTAACTTTTTCCTTGTACGTGGGATACCCCTCAATACCTAAGCGTATTTTTTTCAGACCTCTTTCTTTCATAACTGCCTTAGCAACATCTCTATTTTCAATGTACTTGAAGAAGCGGTACATGGCAGTGCTATTAACAGCTGAAAAAGAAGTTTGATAGTTGCATCATGAAATATTTTCCACATGTTCGGGCGATAAAGACAACAAAAATTTATAAATATTTACTTTGACTATATTCATCACCCATTTGAGGAGGGAACTCTTCATCCCAGTCAACAAGGTCATCATCTAGCAACACAACAACATGGCATTCTCGATCTCCTCTTTGAGCAGAATGGACCATGAGGGGCAAAATAAGTTCCTCTAAGAACACTTTGAATTGGCAACGGGCTCCCTCATTAGACAACTCGTGCATCAATCCGCCTGTAGGCACAAAAGGGAAACAACATTTCAGATTTATCTCATATGAAAAATGGCAAGTACAAGGAAGTTCACAAAAGTATCAAAGAACACTTACGAAGGTTTTGACACTTAACAGTACTTGAATCAAATGGCACTAGCAGGTAGTCACACGCTTCCCTTAGTTCTTGCACAGATACTGTTGGGGGACAACGAATCACACCTCCCTTATAATATTCCAGTATCGCACGGAAAATGGAAGCTGAAATGCCATCAGCAACTTCATATTCTCCTCTATCATTGGCATGTGCCATTTCCATTTCTGAACTGAACATTCTGAATAGGGTAATAGCAGACATTAAAAATATTTATTTATAAAAGTGGTGAGATAAATTTTATAAACAGACACTTTTAAATTCCATCTCTTACCTTCCGAGCATAGTGTTTGGGTGAGCAGTAAAAAGGGCTGGATCAAGAATAAAGCGTGTGTTGTCTACTACAAGAGTAATGCGCTCTTCACTTTGACCAGATGTAGTTGTAGAATTTCTAGTAGAAGTAGAGCCTGACAGGGAGTCTCCAGCTCTGCATGGTGAATGTCCTTGATTCATTTGGTTCTTTGCCGGTCCAAGGTGCTGAGATCTGGACCTAACCGAAGAACATAAAAATATGACTGTTAGAAAAATATCAAAGAAATGAGTCAAAAGTAATCACAAGTTAGCACAAACCGGTTCCGTGGTGTAGAGCTTATTTGTTGCTTGGTCAATGACACATGACTGTGTCGATTTTCACTGCCACACGCAGATGATGGCCTCTGGACAAGGCAAGGTTTTGGTTTAGATGACGATCCATAGCTGCCAAAATGAAACGATTTCAAAAATTGATGTTTAAAGACAAGAAGAGTAAACAATAGTCAAATTGAATCCGTCGGGCACAACTGTTGCTCATACCTTAGGCGAGATTTGTAAACCCGTCTTCGCCTGTCATCAGTCTCATCCTCTGTATCACTGCTACTTTCTCTTTCATAGGAATGACGATCCTTTTGAGCAGACATGGTTGAAACTTAACCTGCAATAAGTTGAAACAACATTAGAAGGTGGTAGATGGCTCCAGAACTTCTAAGGGGGTTATTATGCCCATCAACATATGTGAACTATCCAGAAGATGTAGAAACTAAAATCTGAAGTCAAAAATGGATGACCCAAAGGGTTAAGAACGGAAACTAATGTCACATGCAAATTAAAAGGAAACATTTCGAGTGAAGGAGAAATTAGGACAGTGAGTAAGCCTACCTACTTGCACTTCACTGTATGTCAAGCACTTCTGTTTGGACAAACACGAAGATATGCCCAAATTTAGGTTCTAAAAAGGTTGACACTTGACTGCAATAAGAGTAACAAAATGATTCAGCTCATCTGGGTCTCGAGTTCTTCAGAATAGTCTCACAAATTGAGATTGGACGGGAAGGGCAAGGGCCTCCGTTCATTATTTTGGTATGTACAACAAAACAATGGAAAGTCGTTTGGACGTCAAGGTGCACCGTTCTCTCTACTCGTGTTTCAATATTATATCCTTATTTAAATTAATTCCAACAGTTCTACGATTAGAAAACAAAAGATTTCAATGAAACCAGATTTCACAACAAAATAATCACCTTCTAGGATGACTAACACTTCTTTCTCTAGCAGAAAGCTTGGGTCGCAGTTGTGGTGGAAATCTCACTGGCCGTGACTACGAAACAGATGTACATCGGAATCTTTCAAGGAGCCTGACAGTGAAAAGGTTTGCATTTTCTTCTTACGGTAAAACGTGGACCATTATTATGTACTGAAAATTATACTGAGCAAGCGCACGGGGAAATTGTTCACATTCGAAATCCTTCCTGTTGACTTGATGTTCCAAAAAGTGACGAAACGCGATGATAGTAAAATGTGGCATAGGCAAGGCCAAATCGAGTGTCTCGATTTATTCGTTTTCTACAAATAAAATACTGCAAAGCAACTATTTTTGTACCATTTAAGAGTTGGATGCTTATTTTATAATCCTATTGCAAATTTCTAACCCAAATGTTGGCTCATTCCCAACGCGTGAATTAGTGATTGTTTTGAGGTTACTGTAACTCCCTTCTAATCGTTCAGATGAACTTCACAATCTCCTAATTACTTTACTTTGCATTTCTTTCCACGCATATTGGTTTCATGGTGTCAGATTATTTTGAACTGACTATTTCTTTTTCCTTTGGATCCAAGGTCGCTCTTACATGATGGTCACACCTTTGAAATGACACTCATGTCACATTATCTACTGTGTACATTTGTATGATTAGTATTTTTTCTCTTCTGGAGACACTTGACTTGTGCGAGGAGTACAAGGTCTCCCCACATCATCATTTTTTTAAACTTTATCAACGTCTTGTTGTCTTATTTGTGAACTTTGTTACTTTGTTATTGTTTCAGGCATTTCCTTGCCTGAGAATGGCAACTAATGAACCCTCGGCAGAGGCTAGTACTACTGGTGATAACGCAGTCTCTCCCTTGAAAACCAACTATACCATAGCGATTGATGGTGGCAGTCGCATTGAAATTGATGGTGGCAGTCGCATTGAGATCGATGATGGCAGTCGCTTAGTCTTGCCTTGCCTTAGACTTGTCCCACAAGAAGACTCGTTGCAATTAGGAGACTTGCTAGACAATGATCCAGAAATTGTATTAGAAGTAGAAGTGGAAGCTGGAAATAGTAATGAGCTAGATCCGGGTCCGTCTGTATTAGGCAATTTTAACAGAGACTGTGAACAAGATAACATTGATGAATGTGATAGTAATCAACCAGAGTCCAGCTCAACTGGCCCTGAAGATGTTGCTAGTGGTGGCGGTATTCACACAGATCAAGTAGATAGTGCTGATGGAGAAGAGTGGAATTTACGCCGTCTGGTCCAACTAGATAAGCGACATCAGGATGCTGTCAGTAGTGAAGCTGATGATGAAGGTGATGATGACGAAGATGGAGGCATTGATAGTAGCAGTGATGAATTTGATCATGAAGAAACCATAGAGGCCAGGTTAAGGGTTTATGGGGACCGAACAAGTGGAAATTCACCTCAAGAGACTGATTTAAGTCCTATTGCCAGCTGCTCCAGCCAACCATCACCACCTAGGGTAAGATTTTTTAGACTTAGTTGGCTCTGAAACTTTCTTTACAAAATCGTTTCATTAACTTTTTTTCTTCTTCCTGTAGCATAAACGTAAATTAGAAAGTCAAGGAGATGTTCAAAATAGGTATCCTTGCAAAAAAATTAATCCTGAAGATAAGACTGCATTTCATACAAGGTGAGCCCTTTTTCATTTGAGCCTAATTTGGCAGTAGCCTTTTTGATTTCTGTGAACTGAGCCACTGTGACCTATTTTCACATAAAGTGTACTTATTTTATGTTTCATTCTGCAGCTTTTTAGCCAATGGGGAAGACGGATGTCCTTCCTCTTCTAAATCTCATTGTGTAGCACCCACCAAAGAAAGCCCTCCACCAGATCTGAGAGAATGGCTTCAAAAATTTGAGGTATGCTTTTTTTTTTTTTTCTTTAATGTGTGTCCCAGATTTGCATGCTATATCAATATCAATGTGTTCCTCTCATTGTTTTAGCACTGGCGGAATGCTGACCGGCTTATGGCAATTGACCGGCTCATCGAAACTTGTGAACCAATGCAGGTCAGGCATATGTTGGAAGTTATTGAACCACAATTCCAAAGAGATTTTATTTCTCTTCTACCGAAAGAGGTATGATACCATTTAACAAATTTCCTTGGTATCTGCAATTACTATCTGCTTATTGTTCGGCATTAAGCTTACTAATTTATTTGTCTTAACTATCTTTCTAGCTGGCTCTGTATGTACTGAGCTTTTTGGAACCTAAAGATCTACTTCGAGCTGCTCAGACCTGTCGCAACTGGCGTTTCTTGGCTGATGATAACTTACTGTGGAGAGAGAAATGTAGAGCTGAGGGTATTAAGGATCTTCGTGATGTAAGCAGCCACCGGCGCAAGAAAAGCCTCACTGGTATTAATATGTCACCATGGAAAGTGAGTATTCTTTTATGGTAATTCCTTCCATTTGATTATTTCTTGCACTATTGGTCACTTATATTTGCCTATCTCATCAGGCTGAGTACATGCGTCAACATGCCATCGAAATGAACTGGAGAACGAAGCCGATCCGGACACCGAAGGAACTTAAAGGTCACGATGACCATGTAATTACTTGCCTCCAGTTCTCAGGAAATCGCATTGTCAGTGGCTCCGATGACAATACTCTCAAAGTTTGGTCTCTAACCACTGGAAGGGTAAGTGCATGAATTTAAACTTGAAGTGTAATGCTTGAGGAACGTATTGTAATTGATTTTTCATTGTTTTTATTTTCTAGTGTGTGAGAACTCTTGTTGGCCATACTGGTGGGGTGTGGTCCTCTCAAATGTCTGGAAACACTATCATATCAGGAAGCACTGATCGTACTCTGAAAGTTTGGGACGCTGACTCAGGGATGTGCCTTCATACTTTGTGCGGCCATACTTCAACTGTACGGTGCATGCACCTTCATGGAAAAAAGTGAGGACCTGTTTGTAGCTGTGTCATGTTGGTTAATTTTGGTCTATGGCTGCAGTTCAATATGTTTCATACGGAATTTTTTTCCAGGGTTGTGAGTGGATCTCGAGATGCTACACTTCGCGTGTGGGATATTGAGGCCGGGCAATGTTTGCACATTCTCATTGGACACATGGCAGCAGTACGCTGTGTGCAGTATGATGGTCGTTTGGTAGTTAGTGGTGCTTATGACCATATGGTGAAAGTTTGGGACCCAGAAAAAGAAGAATGCCTTTATACTCTAGAAGGTCATACAAACAGGGTTTATTCTCTTCAGGTAATAGTACTTTTTTGAGACATTATCCTACTTCAGTAACCTAGGTAATTTGTTGTATTTATTTGAATTTTGATTGATTTCAGTTTGATGGTGTTCATGTTGTTAGTGGCTCACTTGATACAAGCATAAGAGTGTGGGAAGTAGAAACAGGTGCCTGCAGGCACACGCTGATGGGTCACCAGTCTTTGACATCTGGAATGGAGTTACGTAATAACATTCTTGTATCTGGTAATGCTGATTCAACCGTCAAAGTGTGGGATATTGTCAGTGGTCAATGCCTTCAAACTTTGTCAGGTAAAGGATTGGGTGCTCTTTTTATCTTCACTGAAATTCCTGGAGGTTAAATTATGGACTGTCACGAGGTTTTTCTGTGTTTAGGTCCCAATAAACATCAGTCGGCTGTCACATGTCTTCAGTTCAACAGCCGGTTTGTCATAACATCTTCTGATGATGGCACTGTGAAGTTGTGGGATGTCAAAACTGGTGAGTGTTTATTCAGTTTCATCAGCTGCAATGCAATGCAATTGCAATGATTATTAATGTATTTGTTCATGTTTCTTATTTCCAGGTGAATTTGTTCGGAATTTAGTTTCATTGGAAAGTGGTGGAGCTGGAGGTGTTGTATGGCGTATTCGTGCCAGTGAAACAAAATTGGTTTGTGCAGTTGGAAGCCGAAATGGTACTGAAGAAACGAAAGTTTTAGTTTTAGATTTCGATGTTGAACCTCCACGCTCCTGAGAATTACTGCCTGATTGTCCCTGTGGAGTTGTATTTGCTGGCCATATAAAGAAACAGTTAAGTTTGTTAAATCTGAATCATGGACAGCCCTGGTTGCACTGGGACAATTGGTTTCTTTATCCTTTGGGTGTAGTTTACTCTCAAGTGGGTGCAGCACAGTTCCTACCTTTCTATTGGCATTCTGCTTTCTCTTTTCCTTTTGGGTCAATGTTCATGAAGTGTATTCTTGATTTATTATTAAAGATCAATAGTATTCTTTCATTAAATTTTTTAACAGTGTACTTTGTGAAAGAAGTGGAATCATTGATTCATTTTTTCATGGTTTTTAATTTATCATGGGTTTCTGTAGGCTTGTGAATGCTAAGTTATCCCCAGCTCTAGTCGGAAGTGGGCCAGGATGTTATATTTTCACCATTTACTATTTTAGAAGGGACTACTGTGCTACTCTGAATGGTTGGTTGGTTGATTTTCATTTCACTTTATTCCATAAGCTCGACAGTTTGAAACAGTCAACCGCTTCATGCTCAAGGATTTTTTTGTTTATATTTTATCAGCAAGTGGTGTATCAGCATGTCCAGTAGACGAGGGTAATTTTTAGTTTTCATTTATCTTTCTTTAAACACGACTGAAAATGTTGCAAGAGTTCCTCCATTTGGAACCTTAGGTACTCTTCAGCAATGGGATTTATGGAAGGCAAAATAAAGAAAATAACAAAAAAAAGTTTGGTTAAAACAAAAACAAAGTAGATTAAATGTACTTGGATTGAAAGGAGCTATCATTTGAATGATTAATGGGCAAGTGTTTGCTTGCTGTAACACATTAACTGAGATTGTGCATAATGCTGAGCTGGATGATAAAAATTAAGCTCTTTCTGAAAAGTATTAAATTTGGATTGTGTGGGAGCAGCTCTACAATAAGTAAAAGTGTTTGTCGTGGTACAAAGATAAGTATTATTGTGATCCTTGTTATGGATTACAGCTCAATAGGAATGATAAATTTGTACCTATGTGATTTATTAAACTATTTTTTCTCTCTTCTGACAGTTGTTTCATGTCTAAAAAGCAAAATTTCAAAATTTTATTGGTTTTATTGTTTGTACAATTCTTTGCTATTCTTTTTCTTTTCATTTTCTTGTCATCCCAGTTTTTATGTTTTAGAATTCCTTATGCATGTTTGGATTTTGTACTAAACTTTCCTGTAATTCCTGTTCATTTGAAAGGATTTTATTTATTGTAGCCTTTACAGAAATCTTAAGTTTTCTGATGTTCGTACAGGAAAACTTTATGAACCTAAAATGAAGCTAAGTTTTAGCAGGGACAAATGTTTAATATGGCTGTTTTAAATGCTTAACCTTACAAGGGTGAGAGCAAAGGTAAATCGCCCTTAAAAAAAACAAGAAAAAGTCTGACTTGTGGGGAAGTTGCGTAATTGATACTCTATGCTGTGATTTAAAAATCATGAAGATATCAGTTCAAAAGAGTGCCTCAAGAAAGCAGTGAGACACTTCTTTTGAAATGGGAACTTAAGAAATCTGTTTGTGTTGTCAATATTTCTTGCGTTGTCTTAGCTTTGTGTAATGTTTTGAAGCGCGACCGTTAAATGTTACACATGGTTATTAATTTGTTCTGCTATAGTAAAATAGTCCCTACTATTTCTTCATTTATTGGTTGTAATTTGTTATTTTCATGTTTGGCTGTCCCTTCAAGGACCATTTGTTGCTGAACCATTTGATACTTGTTTTATTTTCATTTAAAGCCATGAAAGAAACAAATATGGATGTTATCATTTTATAGCAAAGTTGCCAAAAGTGTTTTTATGTGCATTTTGAGCTTGGCTCGTTCTTAGCTATGTTTTCACTTTTTCCATTCAATGACTCTTCATTGATCCAATGTCTTCAACTGATGGGAATGCATCTGAATTTGTGTACATGTCACAGGTGTGTTATGAAAAATCCTTTGTACAAGAAATATTAAATATTTGTATTGTTATTTTTGTCTTTACTTTAATCAGACATAAATCTAGATCATTACCCTCAGGTTCTATCAGATTCTATCACTCAAAATATCATTGGGGATTTTTGAACAAAAAACATGCAAAAAAAAAAAAAAACAAGAAAAAACATTATTTGAACTTGACTGGATTGAGAATATAACTAAGTGGGGATTAGAAATGGACAAACATGCGCAGACTAACAGAAAAAATCAAATTGGCAAGTCATGAAGCTGATTTGAAAAAGCCACAGAGGTCACAAAGTGCCTTGTAAATGCCTGAAGAGCAGGGAACCAATATACTAGCATCATTCGTCCACATAAAGTTGAACCCCCAACTTAAAGCTTTTGCAGAGGCGCGCTGCCGTGCTGGAGTGCCCCACTGTTCAGTCTTAATAGAGGGAAGTGCGCCTAACCGAAATGTCCTGGTTTTTGGCCTTGGCAGGAAAGCACTCGCCAAAGCCTCATTCGAACTTGGCGCGTCTCGGCCGTCGCGGGCCGCCGCCGCCTCTGGCCGACGGAGCCACGCGGCCTTCGCTGCGCCTAGAGCTGCGCCTACCGACCTACCGACGCGACGCGACGGCCGAAAGCGGCCGACCTCTAACCACGACAGTGCCCTCGCCCCCCGCCCCCTGCCCCACCGCCTCCAGGACCCTGTCCTCCAGGCCTCCACCCCGCCCTCCCCGCGTCCGCGCCCGGGCCCCGACCCGGACTCGAGGGAGGGGGAGGGGGTGTCGTGCCGCCCCTGCCGCCCCGCCACAGGGGTTGGGGAGCAGGGCAGAGCAGGGCGAGCAGGGCAGCGCAGGCAGCGCTGGCCCCCCTCCCCAACGGCCGTGCCTCGCTCGCCTCGCTGGGCCGCCCGCCGCCCGCCTCGCCTCGCCTCAGCCCTCAGTAGTGAGAGAGCCGAGCTGAGAGCGGCAGCGGCTTGAGGGTGGTGGCTGGAGGCTGCGTGTGTGTGAGTGAGTGTGTGTGTGAGTGGAGCGAGGAGGGCAAGACACCACGGAGACGGGCTGGACAGAGGCGGGAGGGAGTGCGGTGTTGTGTCAGTGATGGCCTTGAGGAGGATGCTGCCGAGGTGACACCCATGCGCGCACCACGCAGCTGCAGCACGGCGGCCGCCTTCGGGGACAACAAGGACAAGGTGAGTGCTGCATAACCTCACTTCTCGGCCACCCAACGAGCTCGCCGCGCCGTTGGCCAGGGGCAGCCAGGGGCAGCCAGGGGCAGCCAGGGGCAGCCAGGGGCGGCCAGGGGCCAGGCGAGCGCGGCGCTGTCCCGGCCCGTGCCCCGTCCCAGCGCCGCGCCGCGACGGCAGGGTTGTCGTCCCCCGGGACCCTGCCCGAAGCCTGGAGCCAAAGCCCGAAGCCGGCCCGGAGAAATGAGGGAACGGGGCAACGGGGCCAACCCTGACTGGGCCGCACCGCGCCGCACCGCGCTGGCCCTGCGCTGCCTCGCAGCCCTCGCAGCCCTCGCAGCCCTCGCAGCTCGCACGGAGTTTCGCTCGTCGGGCGGGGCGGGGCGGGGCGGGGCGGGGCGGGGCGGGGGGCGAGGACCAAGGTGGCGTGGCGTGGCGCGGCGTGGCGTACCTGTCGCGGGCCCGTCCCGTCCCGCCTCGATGCTCGAGACCCCTCTCTGCATTCTGGGCAGCCGATCCTGCTCGCCTGATAAGAGGGGCTGTCGGTGCTGTCATGCCCCGACGCGAGGCCGGCGAGGCGGTGTCTGGAGGCTGCAGCACCAGGCGAGGCGCGAGGCGAGGCAAAGGGAGAGAGAGGTGGCGGCTGACGGTGTCGGTCTTGATGGCGGCGGCCAAGGCGCGGGCAGCAGCTGCAGACTCTTTCCGAAGAGCGTCGCTGTGTCTCTGTCGCACTTCTTGGGCGCGACGTACGGGTGCGAGAGAGACAGAGCGACGAAACGACCCTTCGGAATCGCTCGGCTGGCGGCGGCGGCTCACCCCTTCCTCCCGCAGGGCCAACCGCCAGAGGAAAAAGGGGGCTAGTCAGGAGTGCTGCTGGTGCCGCCCACGCGGCCGCGCCAATCTGGCACGCTTCAGCTTCAGACTGCACGCCCTGCCCTGCCCGCCCTGCCCTGCCCGCCCTGCCCTGCCCGGTGGACGGCGGCACGGCACAGCAGCAGTCTCCCTCTCTCTCCCCACACCGCAAAATGTCAGCTTTCAAGCTCACTTTTTTCCTCCTGCCCGTTTGGGGTCGTTATGACGTGCTTGTGCCGAAATTGCAAGTCCCAGTAGCTCTCTGAAGTGTTCTCTATTTTCGTCAGAAAGTAGTGGCCGCCCCTCCCCTGGACCAGTGTGGTGGTGCCAAAGACACGAAGAGAAAGTGCCACGCGGTGTCACGTCAAAGCGAACACGCAGACAGACGCAGACTCCGTGGCACGAAGCGCACGAAGCGCCTGCACTCCGTCGGGTAGGCAACCCGCCGTGCGCGCGCGCTGTCGGATTGCCTATCCACCGATTCGCAGGCGCTTCTGGGTAGGCAACCCGCTGGGCTTGCGTGTTGTCGGATTGCCTATCTACCGAGTCGCAGGCGTTCACCGAAGCGGCGGACTGGGTAGGCAACCCGGTGCACTCTGGTGCTTTCGCATTGCCTACCCTCCGATTTGCAGGCGTTCATCTTGAGCGATTTGCTGGCGACGCCAACCGCCAACCCAGCGGGCAGGCACGGCCACGGCGTGCGGTGGTACTCCGGTCCTCCGTCCTCGGTCCATTGCCACCGTTGCCCCTTAAGTCCAGGGTTCGCAGGGCTTCCAAGGTTTCAAGGTTTCCATGGCATTTAGGGTTTTAGGATTTCCAGGTTTTCCAGGGCATAGTCGGGCGGTGGGAGCGGGCTGCCGGCCTGCAGCTCTGCTGGCCGCGCCGTGTCCGTCCCTGCGCAGCGCGGCAGCGCGCAGCCCCGGACGTCCTACTTTTCCTCTGCGCTGGAAGCTGGAAACGACCGACAAATCAAACTCGCCGAACGGAAAACAAATAAAGAGAAGGACAAAGTTTCCTTCCCTCCTTTCGGCAGGGCGGGCGGCGCGGGCGGCGCGGGCGGTGTGCACCTAATTCGCCGCCGCTTGTGCCCCTCGATTTAGCCCTAATTTTGTGCATCGGAGCGCACGCCTCGGCGTCGTGTCGCCCCCCCCCCCCAGCCCCCCGCCCTCGCACCTTCCCAATCCCATTGCAAGCCCAAGGAAGTGGGATGCCCCTCCCCTCCCCACACCCCACCTCCGCGGTAACTAATGCTTTCATGAATTTAGATAAGCTCCCCTCCCGTCCCGTTCGGGAAGCAGTGTGCTGTTTCAAAGGGTGTTTCCTCCGCGCGCCACGAGCCCCCCCCCCCCCCCGCGCGGACCCTCACGGCGGCCACCACTGCGGAAGGAACCGGGGATGATGAAAGGGGGTTGGGTTGGGGAAGGGGGGGATGTCCCACGGCCGAAATGGAAAGTCGTCGTATGGGAAAGTTTCTCTGTGAATGTGAGTGAATAGGCAGGTGATGTGTCGCAATGAAAAAAAAATTGCGAGAGAGTTCGCAGGTACCACCAAGCTGGTGGGGGTGGGGGGGGCTTAAAATTAATTTTGCAAGCTGCTTTCAGGACATTAGCGGTCAGATGTCATTCAAGTTTCACTGTCAAAAAGAAAAAAAGTCTTAGCCATTTTGTACGATCATTTCATTTTTGGCAAATATTCGTCGTTTCGACTAAAAATTTTAGTAATTTAAAGTATGTTTGACTTTTTCTATGTGGAAATCATAAATCTTTGTAAAACCATGGAATATGACTTCACATTGTGGCTGCTATTTTCGTTGGTTCCATTTGTTTTCTTTACTCACAAAAAAAAATCGTTTTTCGGTCTAGATTCATCATTTCATGACAAAGCCATCGTTAACGAAATAAAGCAAAAAATAGCGCCAGTGGAAAGGGCGAAATATTTCCCGCCTCGAGCTAATCAGCCAAACTGTCCCAGACAATTTTTTTTTCGCGCGAGCTATTTAGTTTACCTCTTTAACCTAATAACCAACCCCATTAATTTCTGCGCTGAAGCAGCTTTTTTGGGACTCATCAGCCCTGTCTTGGCATTACCAGCACGTGCTGTCGCCCCAACGACCAAATCCATCGACAAGAGCGGATTATAGGGTCTTGTCGCTGGGACGGGTCATGCCGTCGGATCAACGATTCATTTTGTTTTCCAGTGTACACACTCACGCGCGAAGCCGTTTCACAGGGCGAAGCGCCCCTCGCGTTGAAATAAAAATACACACATTGAGAAGAGGGATGATGCAGGATAACGGCGTGTGGGGGGGGGGGCTGGAGGCTGTAATCGGGTCACTTCCGCCAGCGAGGGGCGCCCCGTTCGGATGTCAACGGTTCGGGGGCTCAAATGACGCGCCGACACCTCCTAATGAGAGTGCTCTCTCTCCGTCCCTCCCACTCTCCCTTCTCCCCCTCCCCTCTCCTCGTCTCTCTCTCTTTCTCTCCCGCTCTCCCGGGCCGCGCTCCCCGCGGCGCCCCCGCCCTCGGTAACCCCACGCGCCGCCTCTCCTTGACGACTTTAACGACCTGAAAATTACACCAGATTGGGATTGGGACGAGGGCACGGGGTGAAGCGGGGCAAAGCGCCCACGCACGCCGGGGCGGGGCGGGGCGGGGCGGGGCGGGGCGGGGCAGTCCCTTGGCGGGGAGCGCCCCGACCCCGGCGTCCCGGCGTCGCGGCGTCGCGCCGATGACGGACAGTTGTCTGGAGTTGCCGCGTCAGACTGTCGGACTGTCGGACCGCAGTCGGGCGTCGCGTCGGGACAGCCGTGGCGGCGGTGGCGTGCACTGCGCACCGACGTGGAGGACTTGCCACGCTTGTCGGCTGGTCGCAGAGGCCGCTGCAGATGAGCGTGGCGTGGCGTGGCGGAGCGTGGCGCAATTCCGGGACCGCCATCACAAGAGCGTGAAACACAAGAGACAAACAGACGAACGGCGAGACAAGCTGACAGGCGGGGCGGGGCGGGGCGAGGCCTGCTTGTTACGGCAAAGCAGGCAGCAGGGCCTCCAACTTAGCGCGCGCCAGTCACGGGGGCAACGGCAGTAGCAGCAGCAGGCGTACCAACATTATCAGAAGCAACAACGGCAAAGCAAGGCTCTCGGGGTCGGGTACAGGGCGGGGAGAGGGGAGGGAGGGCGTGCGGTGGCAGACAGAGCGAGGCAAGGCGAGGCAAGGCGAGCAAGCGCAGTCGTGGGGCGGGGCGGGGCGGGGCGGGGGGGGGCTATTGATCGCAGCCCCACCTCGCGCTCCACCCTGCTGCCCCACCTCGAAACGCCCGCGCCACCCCCTCACCCCGCCCCGCCCCAGTGGCCCCCTCGCCCCCGGCCCCCTCCACGCTGTGCCGCCACAGACTGCTGCAGCCGCCCCGCCCCGCCCCGCCCCGCCCCGCCACTGCCATCATGATTAATGGCGGGCGTGATGATGTCGATGGCGGTGATGCTGTCTCTGTCTCTCGCGGTGCTGATGACTTTACTCGGTGGCCTGCCCTTGCTCTCCCGGTCCCCCTCCCTCTTTCTCTCTCTCTCTCTCCCTCTCCCTCCCCGGTCCTCGATCTCGATGCACCTGCAGGCTGCCGGTGGCCCAGTGCGCCCAGTGCACACACTCCGCAAAGCTCTGCCAACACGCCGACCACGCCCCGGCCGCCCCGCCCCGCCCCGCCCCGCCCCGCCGCCGCACCAGCTGTGGTCACCCCGCCCTGCCACTGTGTGCTCTCATTTATCGGGAGCGGATCGTAACGGTTTATCAATTCCTTGCCTCGTCGTAAATTGGAGGTCGCTTGAAATGTGAATACACTGCGTTTGCGACTTTATAGGCTCCGGCCGCAAATGTGCGCCGCAGCCGCCACCACGTGCCGCGCGGGGCGCGCGGCCCCGCCCCTCCGGCCCCTCCCTCTCGCTCTGTCTCTGTCGCACCCACGGGGCCGGCCCGGCGAGCGGGTCCATCTCGCACCACTGCAGCCTCAGTAGACGGATTCCGAGAGTCGTTTTTCGCTGTCTCTCTCTCACTCACACTCTCATGGGACGTTCCGTACAGGTGCGAGAGAGACAGAGTGACGAAAACGACGCTCGGAGTCAGTCCACAGCAGCGCCCCCTGGCTCCAGGAAGAAGCTGGAAGA